GTGTGAGAGGTCGGAGGCAGAAACAGGCCCGCCATCGGCCCGCTGACTCAGGCTCGTGGCCGCTGACTCAGCTGCTGACTCCGCCCAGCACCAATCATCAGTAACTCCGAGCATCCACTGTCGAGGCGGAGGCCTTCCCATACTCAAGGTGGAAATTAGTCCCGCAGTGTTCAAGTAAACTGATGGTGGAGTTTAAACCATATTTGGCACTTCCCAGCCATGGTTTACGCTAGGTGCTTGACGTCCAGACCTGTTATTTAAGACAATGTGGACCCTGCGTCAAGCATAGATGTTCTCATTAGGTTGATCGACCAACACACCAATTTGTGAAGTATGCAATGCATGCCCTGCCAGGTAGTGTTCAGTATCACGTAATCGATTTAGACAGGATAATTAAAGAGAGACTTGTATTTTATACAGCTATTTAGAAACTAAAAATCATTCTTAGCATTGAACAAGCATATCAGTCACTATCACCAACAGTTCCAGACCTCAGAATAAGCCTACTTTTGAGAATTTGTTTCGAGGGAGAATAGCTTCTGATCTTCTTTGGTGCTGCTGTGGGAAATAGCACATATTGCTGCTAATTTAGTCCCATTCTGGTCATCATGCCAAGTAACGATTTCAACCTATTCCGTATCTGAGATAAACCCAAACATCGATGAAAATTACTTGAAATATGAGCCTACGAAGCACGATTGATGTTAGACAGCCATATAGCTTCTGCTATATTCCCCAGGAGATAGTGCAAGGTAGCTTAGTACAAGAGCGGATTAACCACAAATTTAAGAAATTTTTTCACTTCTCCGAGCTGTAAAAATTCCCATCCGAGCATTCCTGATCTTGACGAAATTTCCCTACTTCTCCAAGCTGTGGAAAATTTCCATTTGAGAAGAACCTATTTGACCTTCTGCTTCTTGTCGCGGGTCATCTTCTCATCTCATCGGTGTTGGGCTTGACAAGGTGGCGTGCACACATGTGAGGAGTATTAGAATCCAGCTCCTTTGTAAAAGGTTCACATCTCACATTTGTGCCCATGCGTGCCTGGCATTGGACGAAGCGTGTCTCTCTCAAACAGCCACAAGTATATCTAGCGAAATACTTGATGCACATCTCGATGACTAGGTCCGAATTAATATTGAAATAAGGTATCTAGCTTAAGGGGTAGAAACTTACTTCTTGAGTTTAGATGTACGAAATTGTAAGACTTGACAAAGCTTCCTAGATCGACAGGACTGTACTCAAAATTTTTAGTGACCCATGATTACCAGTACCAATCCTATCAAACATACTTTGAATGTTTTCAAAACACGAGCTCTCGGTGGATCTAAGAAGCTTTTCTGGGCAGTTTGCAATGTGGCTAGACTGGGTGGGACGCAAAAGAGATGGAATAGATATTTGTTGGATCAGTCAACTTGGGGGTTTCGATGATCAGGTCAAGGGTTGAGTTGTAGAGGAAGGCAGTTAACACAGAGATAACTGGAGGAAAGGTCAGGTCAATGGAGGTTCAGATTCATTCACATGATCAGAGTAAGAGATCCACATCTTTTTATTTCTCACATTCACCAGAGCGAGTGTGTTACAACTTCTCGCAGCTTCTTCTTGACTCTGCCTATCCTGCCACTTCCTATCTTCCTACTGCCTAAGTTTCACTAGCCAACATCAGTCTTGAGATCTCGACAGTAAGGTTCAGCAAGTTCTTTCTTGGGCAGAGATAAGACAACTTGAAGGTATTAAGATCATTACAACAATCTCCGGTCGAAGCTAAAAGAACTTTGGATACTTAGGAAAGTGTCCAGTGCGAAAATGAGTAACTTCCCGGAGATCAAGTTACTCAACAACAGTTGCGACAAGAAAACGGAAAGCTACTTCCGTCTTCTGGTTGACGGCAAGCAAGTCAAATATCTGACTGTCGAACCGGACACCTATGAGAATGACGAAATGTGCTTTCCACCACTTCTATACACTATCCTCCCCAGGTTCCCCACTGGGAATTGGAACGATGGTGTTGTGGCCAAAGATGAAGACGGTCGCCCCTACTTTACACGTATCAACCTGACCGACTTTCCCGGCGTGGAGAACACCTGGCATGAAACCTCCATCGACCTACTGGACGCTGAGTTGGGTGACAGAGTTCAATTCGAAGTTTATGAGGTCAAATGTCCACAGTTTGACGACGTTGTGGTCGCCAAACTCCAGCCCTGGTACTGGTATATGGATTCCATGGAGAACGAAACTACAGTCTATCAGTGGTTGAACGGCCACGGGATTGGGCCTCGTTTCCTTGGCCATCTGACTGAACATGATCGTGTTATCGGTTTCTTCATGGAGCGAATTCCTGATGCGCGGCACGCTACATCTGAGGATATTGGCCTCTGCAGGCAGGCGTTGTCTCAACTACATGCCTTGGGGCTTCGGCACGGCGATACAAACCGACACAACTTCCTTATCAGCAATGGAAAGGCTATCCTGATTGATTTCGAGTCTACCCACAAGTGTGACAATGAAGACCTGCTTCGGCTGGAGATGGAGGGTTTGTCTCTTTGTCTTGCAGATACTTCGGGCCTAGGAGGTACTATTACCCTTGAAGACTTTCCCGGGACGGACGAGGAGATGATGGATCCAGACTGTTTCTAGAAGACGTGTGAACCCTGTCATGAATGGATCTGACTGCTGACTTTCAAGTTTGTCTGCTACTTCTCTGTTCATGATTCATATGACCACTGTACCTTTCTTTACTTGTCCACTTTTTATGATGCTTCAAGATAACTCTTTAATTACATATCTACAGACAGTCATCAAAAGATATCTAACCACCTTTCCAGCAGTCCAATAAACTCAGGATCCTACTTCTGATACTCATCCTGCCACCGCACCCGCTGCACAAATCCCAACACCTCCCTCAGCTTTCTATTTGATACCGGTGCCTCTCTGCCCACCAACTCCCTCGTAACCGGCACCCCAGGACAAACCCTTGCCAGAAAGGCCTTCGTCGATTCCTCAAAATTCGTCATCTCATCATTGACCGCATTGAACACCTGAAACCCCAACCCATCTACAACTAACCCCCTCTCCACCATCCCTCCCAGATCCCTTGCATCCGTATACGCCCAACCATGCACCTTCCACTCCTCCAGCCGCTCCACATACCCCGTGAACTTCTCCTGGAACTCCTCCGGACTCACCACCGCCCCAAACCGATACACATAGATATCCGTCCCGGGAAACCGCCTCGCAAACCCAGCAGCAGTCTGCTCCCCACACACCTTCGAGATGGCGTACGCATCCATCGGCTGCGCGGGGACGGACTCATCCACCGGGAAGGAAGCGTAGTCGACGTCGCCCTCGGCAAACGCGACCCCGTAGACACAGATCGACGACGCCAGGAGGACCTTGCGGATACCCATGTGACAGGCGGCTTCGAGGACGTTGTAGAAGGCCAGCACGTTTCCGCGGTACGTCTCGTTGTCGGGGACGATCATGTTGCGCGCGTAGCCGGCAAGGTGGATCACTGCATGAGGGGCTTGGTGGAGTGGTTCGCGGAAGGGCTCGGTCAACGCGAAGTGCGAGTGGAAGGCGCTGTGGACTTGGCCGGTGTCGGTGAGGTCGACGCGGATGGTGTGCACGCGGGCCGCGAGCGAGGCCGGCAGCGGATGCAGGTCGAGGTTTAGGATGGTGTGGTTCTGGCGGAGGAGGTGGGCGATGATGAATTGGCCGGCTTTTCCGGAGCCGCCTGTTATGATGATGCGCTTGGACATGGTGATTTGGGTCGCTATGCTGAGGTGGTTGAGGTGGACTACGTGGTGGTTTTGTTGATATGGAGGGGAGAAGTGCGGGGTTTGTGGGGGTTGCGGGGGATTGCCGAATTGGGCGGATGTTTGTTTACTGGGTATTCGCAGATGATGATAGCTAGATATTCCGACGAGAACCATTAATTTGAGAAGAGATATTAACCTCATTTCTTGCCTTATTTTATCAAACATATAAACATTTAAAAACGAAACTTTGAACTGTATGCTGCGCAGCAATCCTACGTGCAGGATCCAAGCTGACATCATTAGTGCCAATGCTCTGTAATGATCCGCTGCCAATTCATCCCGCGTACCCCTCACATGACATTACACCAACACCAACCAAGCTAGTCCCTCCACTCCTTTCGTCAACTTTCTCACCTTGACTTACGCCCCTCTCTCTTCATCCATCGCGAAGGAGACACCCTCCCTCGCCAGAAAAAACCACACACCTCCCACAACCCCCGCAGAATGACCAAGCCCGCCAACCGCCCCCGCATAGCCTGCTTCCACGGCGGCGGCTCGCGCGCGTCCGTCTACGAAGTCCAATGCAGCCACCTCGCCAAGCTCCTCGAACCGGACTTCGAACTCGTCTTCTTCGACGGACCCTTCTTCCGCGACGCCGGGCCCGGCGTCCTCCCTGCCTTTCGCGGCTACGAGCCCTTCCGCTCCTGGTTCACGCAGGATGGCTCCGGCACCGAGCTCGCCGACGGCAGTGGGTACGATATGACCGGTCGGGATGGTGTCGAGCGGATCTGGAAGCTGATGCGGGAGAGAGACCAGCACAGCCCCGGGGGTCCTTGGGTCGGGGTGATGGGGTTCAGCCAGGGGACGAGGCCCGCGGGCGGGTTGTTGCTGGATCAACAGCGGAGGGTTGCGAGCGGGGAGTCAACGACATCAACAACACAGGGGGCGAGCTTGAAGTTCGGAGTTATGTGTATGGGGGCTGGCGCGCCTATGGTGGCGGAGAGCGCGCATCGTATGTTCATCCCCTCTGACGATTTTCTGGTCAAAGGCTAACTGTGAGGGTTGACTGTGATGGTTGCAGGGGCAGAATCCGACGCCGAGCTTGTCTCTATCCCCACGATACATGTGCATGGCTTGAAGGATCCGGTGCTGCCATTGAGTCGACATCAGCTGGCGACGTATTATGAGCCTAAGCGGAGTGAGCTGTTCGAGGTGGATTATCACCATGCCATGCCGTGGGTGAAGCACGAGGTGGAACATCTGGCGTATCTGGTCAGGACAGCATACAGGGAGAATAGCTGAAGGGGGTCGAGACGATTCAGGAATTGGAATATGCACTTGAACAGAAATCGATCTACACAGATAATATTATTCACAATTACGCCAACGCAGCCAAATAGACTTTTGCTCATATATCATGTCTCATGCCAATCAGTGGGCAACCTTGCTTGCTTCAAACAGAGCAGGAGGAATCCCCTCGTCTGCAACTGCCTTAAGATCGTCCTCGCCCATCTCCCCATCCCAACCGTGCGCAACCAGATAAGCACGGAACTCCTCATCGCGGACCCGCAGATCCTCCCCGGAGATATCCTCCACGAAAAAGTACGTCACCAGCACCCCGACCACACCGCAGATCGCAGCGATGATGAAAGTCCACTTTTTGCCCAGATGGGTTTCTATCGGCGTGAACACCTGCGTCCCGATCGCACCGCCTGCCTTGCCAAACGCAGCCGAAATACCATAGCACGTGCCCCGCACGCCGGTCGCGTACATCTCCGACGAGAGCAGGCCCAGCATATTCCCCGGACCGAAATTCCCGGAGCTCTGCATCAACCCGTAGAAGATCACGAATAGGGGGATAATCTTGGTGATCTTATCGTATGCACAGCCGATGATCAGGCCGAACACCAGGTAGCCGGTGAATCCGATCATCATGATGTTCTTGCGCCCGACGCGGTTGCACAGAACGGCGCCGAGGAAGACGCCGGGAAGAGCGATCACGCCCAGCAGAAGCTGCCATTCTCCGGTCTTCATCACGGAGCTGTCTTTGATGACGGAGGAGATGATTGTGCCGGAGAAGACGCCGTTAGGGAATGTGACAAAGTCTAAGAAGGCGAGGTTGTCAGTCAGTAACTGTAATTGTTTGCCACGAAGTGGAAAGAGGCTACACACCGTACAAGAACCAGGCTCCGCAGGTTCCAATCAGAGACTTCCAGTAGTATTTGACCACAAGGATGTAGGGGACATGCTTCTTGATCGCGCCGCGGCGGTAGAGGGCGGAGTTCATCATCCGGAACCGGAAGTAGAAGACAGACAACGGCCAAATACAGCCAATACCGAAGCAAACGCGCCAGACGGTGCTGTAGTGCGACTGGTGGCAGGCGGAGAGGACGATCAGGAAGATCGCGACCGCGAATGGCCCGCCAAACGAGAGAGGGAAATTGGTCACCATGATGAAGGCCGGCCCGCGTTGCTTGGGGGTCAGGTCGTTGGCGGCCTCGGATGCTGATGTCGATGAAGCGGGATATTCACCACCGGTGCCTGTCAACCGTCAGCTACCGCGTTGAGTTGCGAGATGTGTCGGCACTCACCGAAACCAACGATACCACGCGCTACCGTCATCATCCAGAACATTCCGTCGATAGTGTACCCGTTCGATGCGGTGGCTAATATTCCTCCGACCACAATCATAGCTGTTGTAAACACCAGAGCGGCCTTGCGGCCGAGATAATCACAGGTGAGTCTGGGTGACGTTAGCGCTGGAGGATGGCTGGGAATTCTTATGGCTGCGTCTTACCCAATAACAATCTGACCGATAACTTCACCGACCAAAAGAGCGTTGGAGACCCGAGTCTTGACAGCTGAGGTGTACTGCTCCTTGTATTGACTGGCAAGCAGCACGTTGACCATCGTCCTAGCAAGCGGTTAGCTTCGTGAGACCATCTCGGCAGGAAACGCCTACATCAAGTTGTTCTGGTATCCATCACTGATCAGGGCAAAGCCACTGGCAATCTAAGACTCATATCAGAATGAGTCGTCTGCATGACAAGAGCCTGCGGTAGCTCACAATTGTGATAAGGTCCGAGAGAGTGCGGCGCTTCTTCAGGGCTTCCGCCTCGGAGATGGTCTCTCCGTCATGAGAGTCGGCCTGAATGACGGTTTGGAGATCTCCTTTGGGAGCAAGTGAGGCGTCTGGTGGTGCAGACATGTTGCTAGACTACCTCAAGCGCAGTGGTAGAGAATAGCACAGAGTCTTTTGCAGAAAGGTTGCCTTTGTGGTGAGGAAAAGTCGGCAGGAAGGCGAACAGCCCGTCCCTCGTGCTTTATATCCGGGTTTGGAGGCGAATGACAGAGACTATTGGTGGAGGCATGCTGGATGTGACCTTAATCCTGTTGGAGTAGTCAGTCCAGTCAAGGCTGCGATTACCGGTGCTATCTCTCAATCAGTATATTGATTCATTCCTTGTCCTGCAGCCACTGGCAAGTCACTAAACTGGATATAGACAGGGCCGGCCAACTTGACTACCGAACCAATCATAGGCAGAACTCGGCCCGTTCCCACCCGGGGAATACCCTCCAATCACATGACACAACAACTGCACGTTCCATGTTTGGGGCGGGCACGTGTAGCTTATCTTCGCTCTCATCTCTTGCTGTGGTGTTTGTTGATGCTTTTCCCACCCAACAACTGTCCCCACGGCGAAAGCTTTCAATCTCTTAGCCTCCGCTTGATAACTCGGGAGGATCACCTATTGGCGTGCACACAGCCAAGAATGCGCCCACGTGAATCAAGCAGCGCCAACAACGCCCTTCCGTAAGGCTGACCTAGATTATGTGGCGCGCCCACCACGAGTCGTCCGGTCCGAATGGGAAAGTGCTCAGACGATGAACCATGTTTCCTCCCGTTTTCCCTGACTCAATTCGAATGCTCGATGAATTCCGTTCCCCATGCCACACCTGTCAGGAATCAGACCACGCACGGTAAAGGCTGGCTACGCGTCGAAAGGCTTGGCAGAAACCATGACCTAAATGCGTTGTATTCTCTTCATCTATTGAAATTCTGCAGCAGTCGCTCTTGATCAAGTCTCCGGGTCATCCCTCTCCAACTTCATCACATACGGGTATCACAGCCGTGATCGCGGACCACGATGAAGCCTATGCCACGCCTTCATTTGCCAAGCGGGCACGTCGGCCGGGCCCATAATCTGTCGACGGGTCCAATGGCCAATTGTCTCCCCCAACGTGCTTACCCGCAAGGGAGCGCGAAGGAAATCATTGTAGCCAGTTGCTCTCTCCCGAGACAAGTTGGTTCCGGACGCCGACGCCGTCAGTCCGATGAGCGGAATCGTTTGCAGTTGGAGATCGTTACAGAAGGGCGGCTGCGTGCGGATGATACGAACCAAATCGTAGCCACTCATTCCTGGAAGGGAGGTCTACACAATTAGTCAGTTGGAGCTCTAAGTCGGAACAGTGAACGATAGGGTGATCCAGCAACACGCCTTTATGAAGATGATATGTGGTAGGGTAGGGGCCGTGGCCAAGTGGTCGAGGGCTGCGGTGCCAGAGCCGATGGCAACCACCTCACAGCCTAGTCTTTGGCCGATGCGATGACACAATTTTTGGACGACAAGACTAGATACAGTAATGGCAGTCAGGAAGGGTACCTGCAGCAGTTGGGGGACTCTACTTGTTCTCAACGAATAAGAGCTGCATTTTTGAGGTATAGATATCGCTGGTGTATCTCTGGGGATTGGCGCTGCTGCCAGAAGTGGGCTGTTGAAGTGAGATTGTGAACAGGGTCTGTCTCCGATTAGATCATCAACGCTGACGAGGCTGTGTCTGGTCCGTGCGCTGCATTGGATCAGGTGTGGCCTTGGCGTCACTGGGTAAAGATCATCCTGTAGTCTGGTGTAGTTTGGAGTTGATAGTACTAGGTAGACGTTGGGTAGGTCTGAGGGTTCGACTCGTAGAGACAAGTGTCGGGCTTATTTTCTTAGTTCTCCAACTGGTCGCTGTGTTAACTTGGTTACCACCGACGTCACTGACAGTACACCTGATTTCGCAGCATTCAGTTGTCAAGCAAACTGTACCTTCCAATGCCTTCCCTAAGAAGTTTGTTTGAAGTCAGCTTCGATACTTGATCTGCAGAAGCAAATGCATTCTGTCTTGAACTGCACCATTGCATCTTATCTCACGAAGGGGATTTCAAGAGGGACTGGGCTGGCTCTGGTCCGTCTTCTGGCTTCCAAGCCCAGTACAGAGGTGGCAGTGGTCTTCGCAGCCGCAGGCCGCACGAACACAGGCTGATGCATTGACACAATCGGTTGCGCAGTCTTCTGGGCGCGTTTATCAGGTTGAGATGGATGTTTCCGAAAACCGAAACATGGGGCCGGCAGCTGCGACCGTCGAGAAGGTCTTGGCTGGTCGGGGACTCGACGTACTACCTAGTCAACAACGCCGGGGCCATGCCATTTGCGCCCGATGGAATTGAGACGATGTAAGTGTAGGCAGACTGCGAATTCATCCCAATCTGTTGACTGAGAGTCACTAACCTCCAGCAGGACCGACTTGGACTCCACCTTTCGCACCAATGTGACCGGCGCTCATATGGTCACGAGTGCCTTCTTGGAATTATTAGAACATGGTACTTTGGAGGCGATCAACGTGTAAGGACCTCACTGCTCAACAATCGCTAAGCGCTAATGTGAGACCTCAGATCCTCCACCTTTGGTTCCATCGCCAGAGCGTCGAGGTCTGTCCGTGCCGCAAGATCACCAAGGCGGCCCTCAGCATATTGACCGTACAATATGTCCAGTCTTTTGCCAGAGAGGGTTTCATCTTCATGATCATCTTGCCTGGTGTAAGCCTATTCAACGCATCATGTCTCGTATTTGAGTTCTGACAATGTACAGTGCGTAAAAGCAGATTTTGGAAGCGACAATGCCAAGTTGACGCCCGAGCAGAGCGCCACCGCCGTATTCGATCTCATTTCTTCTGCGACAAGCGCCCACAACAGCAAATTCATTCATATCTATGTGAATGGGCTGAGCTTTCACGACGGTGCAGAGGTGCCATGGTAGCTACCAGGTAGTTTTGGTGCCTGATGCTCAGAGGCCAAAACGTGAAAGCCCCACCTTAACATTATCCTTGGAGAAGAGAGTACTGACTACAAAGTCTCTCATTGGAAGATGAATGAACTTGTTCTGGCGCCAGAAACTCGAATAACAATCTGTTTATCTGCTTCGAATTCTTTGGACGTTACGAATTCAAGGTAGTCGTCGACTCCTTCCCCATCCGACCGACCATTTCATCTCCCTGATGACTACTACCTATGATTTGGCTGCTAAATTATCCGCTATTGGGCAATAAAAGAATACTCTTGCTCTCTCACGACTTTTTTTGTCTTACAAAATCTCTCAATCAAAAACTCTATTAGCAATTCAAGGATTGCGGCGCTGATCGTATACTCAGAGTTAGTCAACTGTACGCCTAGTTTACTGTCATGCGACTGGCTAAAAGACTGAGGTAGACTCGAAGAATGCTGGGCAATGCAAGACCTGAGGCCAATGCAACCCCACACGAAGGAGCGCCAACCGGTGGTATGTTTGTCGAATCACTTGCTTATAATAGAGGTCTTCTGATACTAAAAAAAGACCTGCCTGCCCTAAGCCAATGGAATTTCGAAAGCGGGGTGCTGTCGATCGCACGGCAATATCGCTCGCTCCCTGCGGATCAAATCCTGGCCTGCTAACCTTAACGAAACCTCGGGTCACCAGATCTCGACCTTGCCTTTCCTTTCTCCCAGGTATCATCAAAACAGATGAGCCTCCTTGCTTCGAACCCATTGACTGTTTGAGTATTGATTATTGATATTCCTAGAATGATATATGGATTCCATCGCGCCCCCTTGATAGTGATCTCGATCTGACAGGTCACATACAATCACCCCAGTCTGGTTAAGAGTCCCTCTTTTGGGCACAATTTCTGCTTATGTGAATAGCTCTTACCGAGACATCTACTTCTTGGCAAGGTCACACTGCATCTGACTGTTCAGGTCTCGATGCCAGAACACGAATCCAGGACGTTGTTGACGTCGGACAGATCTGGCCAAAAGCCACGCTACCCGCTATGCACCGCCGAAACCACCAACCCCTTCAATATTGTGTAACCACAGCGAAGGCCACTTTCGCTAACTGACGTGACACTACCCTTTGAATGTACTGTAGATATTATGTTGCCAGAAGCACCATCAATGGATCTGGGGTGGTAAGTTTGGAATCCGCATAATGCTTTTCGGGCACTGGATGGGTTTCGGTCAGGACTCGTATTACCCGCGCCGCGTTGGGAAGTATACGAGCTTCCGCATTCAGAACCCTCACTCCCATTATAGCAGATCATCACTACCACGATGTGACCTACGACGAACACAGTGAGCTTTCACAACAATATCAAAAGGATATAAAAAGAGCTCGCTTGACCATCTGCTGTCGTTCATCACAAACAATCAAGCAATCGCTCCCAAAGCCTGTAACTAAACTATCTGCTCATCAACCCTGAACGTACTCATCCATCCTTCATCAAAATGACCAAAATCATTGCCATCCTCGGAGCCCTTGCCACTCTTGCCCTGGCGGCTCCATCTCCCGCAGGCGACGTCGTTCCTCGCGCCTGCACCACTATTCTCCCTTCCTCTATCGACGTCCTCGACAGTGCCCACCCGAACACTGCCAACGTCGGTCAGCGCTTCACCCTCCGGCGCTCCGGCTCCCCAGTGACCAACAATAAGATCTCCGCCTTTACCTTCACCAATATCCCCGCCGGGGCTACCGGCTGCACCCTCCAGGTCAACGTACCGCCGTTGACCACAGCCAACCAGATCGCCAAGGGCTCCAACCAGGCAGAGTTCTGGACGACCACACCCTGGACCGCCGCGAACGCCCCGACCTGGAGCAACCCGCCAACCCGCGGCCAGATGGTCTCTACCTTCCAGTTCCCGACGGGGGCAACCACCACCCCGATCCAGCAGAACCTGGCGTCGAATACCTGCTCCAACACGATGAGCTTCTTGGCGCTGCTGAGCGATTGGCAGGGGGCTGAGGGGCAGGTGGATTTCACGCAGGGCGCGGATCTTGGGTTCAAGTTGATTTATAACTGCTGATCTGTCTATCTCTTTCAAGAGTAGTCTGGGGACTGGGTGTGGTTGGTACGATGGGAGGATGGTCAAGTTGGATAGTAATGTCATGGGGAATTTCGGGGTTGTTTTGTCTGTTAATTTAGCTGATCGAAGATGCGTCTATCGAGACATTTTGACGGAGGGATACAATCAATCAAGTGAAGCATTGAGCTGCGAGAACATTGTCATCTTCTAGGTATGGACTCTTGACTCTCTGCTCCGGCTGAGGTCTCCAACAGACTCGGTTCGGGAAAGACAGAAGTCGTCTAGGGAGGCTTGTGAAGGTCTAGGCTGTGAAGATGATTTGATTTCGGGTACAGAACAGCATGTGAACTTAGGTTTCGTGATGCATTAAGGATTACCTATGAAAGTATGATTCCAATTCCATAGCAGTCAATGGAAACTCTGGTGTTGGAAAAAGTGAAGGTGGAAAGCATGCTAATTTTAGTCGCGGACAAAGAAACCGCAGCAGCTTCGGCTCATCCCGCCAGTTCTTCCTCTTTCCTTCCTTCCACCCTTCCTTCCTTCCTTCCTTCCTACTCTCTTCATGCTATTCTCAGCAGTTATCGATTCATCAACCATCATCCCTCGGTGTCTCCATCATTGTCTTCATTCTCGGTCAAATCAAAATCACCATGACATTTGCGCCAACAAGGCGGACACGGCTTGGTGGGGGAGATGAGCAACAGGTAAGAACGCAGCGGCAGAGTCAATGCGACCGGACAATTGCCAGGACCATGAGGCTGGGAATCGATTCCGTCACTGAATCCTTCGACTCCTTGGCTTGATCACGGGACCATTGTCTCCGTGCAGGATTTGTTGCTATTCCGAAGGATTGTGCGGGGTACGTGAGAAGCTTATTGTGACCATTCTTCGTTGCCATTATCGCGCTCGACTCGACTCGTGGGAAATGACATCGGTACTTGAGTCTACCTCAGCATGGCTTGATACGAAATGGAGCTTCGGTTATGCCTCATCTAACAAGCTGTCGGAAGATTGTTAGAACCGGATTCTTTCTTGTCAAGACTGACACTTGCACGTACCTTCCCCAGTCACAAGCTATTTTAACAATCGATAATCGCCAGCTGTGAACGTCTCACACATGCGGAATAAAGCCCGTCCATGCTACCGTCTGGAACGAGCTGACCGGTAGTCGCCGCAGACTGATGAACGCCTCGACGATGATATACAACCGCGCAGGAACTAAGCACATGCTGATGAGGGTAGAGATTATGTCGAGCACCCACGGTCGCCATCCCGGCGGTCGCTCCGTTGGCTGAATCCAAATATAGGTCAGCGACCGGTGACCCTTGAACCCCAGAGCTGTCAGAGCCACCCGCACCGTGGTAGCGAGCGGAAGTCCGGACGCCAGTACCAGGGCACCGATACGCCACAATAGCCTCTCCGTCGGGGTCGGAAACAGGTGGTTCCATCCCAGACAGTGAATGGCAGGATGTACCATCGCTTGAACCGTCACTAAAATCCAAGTCTGCCGGCGCATGTTGATCACCGGGATCTTGTCGTCGGGCATGCGCTGCAGCGGTCCCTCCTCCAGGCCAAATTTCTCCAGCGTGGGCCGACGGTGCCACCGCTGCATCGGCTTCTCCACAAAATCTAGGGGGGTGTGCTGAAACTCTTCCACGGAGGTGTTACCACCCTGACTCAGAATGGCGTTGACACTTCCATATTTGAGGTCAATGTACGTGGGTACGCTGACATTCTGCGGCTTGTGCATCCAGAAGTAGTAGCTCATCATAGTCGACAGGACGAATCCGAGCGAGAAGAGCTCCAGCGGAGTCACGGATAGCCCCTGAATGACTCGTGCGATCGCCTGTACCGCCAACCAAGCGGTTTGGACCAAGGCCACACATTTCGCAAAGACATCTGCCTTGCTCTTGTCCCAAATCTCCTCCTCGGTGATAGTTGGGCACTCGATATAGTCTGCCTCCACGAGGTACTGGAGGGCTGCGGATGTGATAGGAAACGGCCGGTAGTCGATCGATCGCAGGACAAAGCCCCCGCTGTTGGCATAAAAAGCGTGCTTCAGCGTCCAGTGCTTGTGGCCCATCCGGTGCATCTGCTCGACGGCTTGCTGTGCGGCCTCCCACTGCATGGCCGAGAAGTACACCAGTAAGTCAGGGGCTAGGATGGCCAGCATACCCCAGCGTATCTTGCGCATTATGACCACCATCAAGCTATCATTTGGACCAGGGATGTTCAAGTGCAAAACGGTGTACAAAGCTGTCGATAACACCAAAGCACATGACCAGAGGATGTCTATCGACCCGCGTACATTGGGCGCGTCAACCCAACCCGCTGTTTCAGTACCATTGCCGGCCATCACGCATCAGCCAGATTGTCACCAGAGGGAAGAGTCCGCTATGGATGCAGAGCGGAGAGAAAATTGTCACGAGAGACGCATGGGTTGTTGGGGGACTGTCTCAGGACAGACAGCGGTATAAATCAGATTCTGTCTCCCCCCTGCCGCTATGTACATCCCCTCACATAAAGCAGACACTAATTTGCGACGGACTTAGGTCGGCTTGGCTCTCATGCAGGAGAGGTCGCTCAAAATAGACAAGCGCAGGTAGATGGTGAGTTGACGATCAGACTACTGCGTCCATCTAGTGCCACGCCTTTTTGGCGGCACGCTCGATCCTCCAGAATTGTCTCTTTTTCGGATCTTACTATCATTTCTTCCACGCTCAATGGTCCGTTCCGCTGTGCTGATGGTTACACAAGTCAGTTTCGGGCAGACTATCGGCTGAAAAGCGAGACCATTCCTTCCACCCTCACATGGCATGCTGACAGGAGGCGTGAAGAATGCGACCATGGCAGAAGGTGGTCAGCGAGCGGAGAAAAGTGGAGCAGAAAGATAACAGCGCTGCACGGGGATTCACGGCTGGATCAATTGAGTGTTGAGAAGCATTGGGGTTGACCCTGACTAAGTGGAGATCGGCAGGTGTGAAGGAAAAGTCCCGGGAAGGATGTCCCTAACAGGAAAGGATGGACATGCCGGCACTAATCTAGAGTCTTTGGGGCGTGTTTAGAGGCACGACGGTGGATGTCGCTTGTCCACCATCACTCATCCACATTGGCTGCTGCAGTACTTGGGGGCCAAAAGTGAGTCTCCACCGTGTCGGACGTTTTTCTTCAAATGTGCCCTCATCTATTGACAATCTAATTCCAATATACTCATGTAGGTCTGGGCGTGCTGTGGTCGTACAATTTTCCGTGAGCACTAGAGTACTGGACACAAAGGCTGAAACCCCGTTCTCCTTGCTGCCGCAGACAGGGTTCGCCTGCACTTTCCACGTGCATGTTCGCGACCGCCTCATGGCAACAAGGTTCCTACCTTCGGCAAAGCTAGTCCAAGAATAACTAGATGGGTATTCAGCTTGTCGTCTTGTTGAGACACTTGCCAGTGCTGATACTGCGCATGTTCCGGTTCCGTGCGTCGTGCTTAGGCTCTGTGGCAGGTCTTGGAGTCTGAGACATGTTCCAATCGCACATCATTCAAGAATGAGTCAAGCAACACAGCCAAGCAGGCTGAGATGCGGTGTTTCCGAGCCCTGACCTGTCAGCAAGTCGTGGTCGACAGCAACCTGCCCTCAACCACTGGCTTAGTCTTCAGTGTCCCGATCAAATTAGATTAATTGTGACAGGTACAGTCCTTCCTATTTGATCACTAATCCGTCCCGACAGGGGTATCCCTTGAACCACGCAATACCCCTCTTTCTTTGGCGGAATTTGATGATCGTCTCCATTTTAGGTCGGGTGAAATATGGGGGCTATGCACTTGTGTATAATTGAACCATTTTGCTGCGACTCGCGTTTGCCTACCTAATCAAGATGCTGCCGTTGATAAAAGCAGTATATAAAGAATCTGTGTATACTCTGGGCTGCTTAAAGATTACTTACAGAGTACATATCTAGAAACCCCGGTTGCTGCGAGATTGCTTTGATTCGCCTAGTTAACAATATCTAACTAGTTTATGTTCATGTACTGCAGTAAACTATGTAACAAAAGCAGATTTCTTAAACCATATATAAACTAATACTTTTCTAGATTCATAATACGAATATGATGTATAATACTGATATAGAGATGAGAAAATTAGGAACGTTGTTATCAATGAAGACCTGATAAAAGACCACAAGATCAAGACTGTCCAAATTCCACCTACAGAATGCATTAATACAGCCCAGATAGTGCTTCTGGTTTTGTTAAATAAAGAAATGAAGACTTTTATTCGAATAGAAGAAAACTGTTTAGACTGGTTGCTCTATAATCCTCTATTCACGAGATTTGGAATAGCACAGTAGGCCACTACAACGTGCAATTGGGATCTCTGTCACTATAGCTGCTAGACAGTATAATAATACTACTTAAAAGGGGGATTTATTTGCTAGGCTCTCGGCATAGACTCCTAGACTTAGGAGTTCTGGCGCCTAATCAAGACTAACGCGCCAAGTCAATCACAGGCGCTCTTTTACATGGAGGTGGTGGTATCAGGCCATTTTCCGTCCCAGTTTGAAAGCATCTTGAACCAGAAATAACTGTTTACCTCCTTGGTGTCCAACGCTTACGCAGCTTTCAAGCCGGGGCGAATGAGTCACAGACACTGCATAATTAACACACTAGAAAGAACGCACAGTCCAATGTCAAATCTAGGGCATATTATTCTGATGGCTTGGTCGAAGCTTGGATATCGATACCGCAGATAGGAGACGACACGCTAGCACTCAGAGTCCCCGCCTTGACCCGCTCCTGCTTCCTCTTCCTCCACTTCGGCCCATAAAGGTACAAGACCCCCAACAGCGGCATCGCAATAACCATGTTTAGCCCGAGAATCGTAAATGACCATCCCCACCCCATCGACTCAATCATATAGTCAATGACTGCCGCAAACAGCGCTCCCAGCCAGCACCGGACCAGATCCGCCGCTCCCTGCGTTGCAACCGCCTGGGTCGGGTAAAGATCTATCAGCAATGTGTAGATAATTCCGAGTAGGGGTGTCCCGCTGAAGCCGATCAGACTCTGGAAGACGAGCGCGGCGGCGAGAGAGCAGTGGGTTTGAATTATCCAGCCGTAAGACAACAGGGATACTGAGGCGAGGAGCGCAAAGGGGACAGCAATTTGGAGGCGGGCGCACTCATAGGGGAAAGGATCATCTCCGCTGGGGTCCTTGGAGGGGTCTTCAAGGTTTCTAGTCTGCTGGCGTAGTTGCGTTTGGATGCGGGTGTAGTTGAAGTCGAGGACCCGGCCGCTGAGGATGGAGCCGATGGCGCCGGCGATGCCATAGGGTCTGTCTATCCTTAGCTCTAGGATCGGATGCAAAGGGCAAGGGACGGAAGGGGGATATTCACAGGAAGGAGAAGCCGACTTCCAGTGTACTTAACCTGTACATATTGGCAAAGTGGCTGCCAGTCGTAGCCCACATGGCCGTGACACCCGCATAGAACAGGCTGGTGAAGATGACAAGGATCAAGGCATCTTTCTCACCGAGAAGCGTAAACGCGCGTAGTATCTCCGCGGTGTCGATCCGCCGCTTCTCGGTGCCTCCGGTGGGTGACGGGTCCTTTTCGTACGTGTGTGTATGTCGAGAGTCGCGATCACGGCTCAGCCCTCGCTGAACGTTCTGCACCAGAGGTCGCCGCCACCACCCGACAGGTTCAACCGAGCCATCGCCAACAATACTTCGGGCCGTCTCCGGGATGACCACGAAATAAGCAAGCAGCGCACTCCCGCTACAGATCCCAAGGAACCAAAAGATACTCCGCCACCCGAACGCTGGCTCCAAGAGACCGCCAATTACAGGGCCGAAGGCAAACGCCCCCATCACACACCCCTGTAAGGGTCCGATATACCGGCCTCGTTCAGCGGGCGAGGAGATATCCGCTGCAACGGCGAATCCGAAAGGAATCGCGCAGCTACTTCCGAGGCTCTGCAAACAGCGGAGAATGATCAGCGCCGGGTAGCTGTTCTGCAGGGCAAGGCCGATGTTGGCCGCTGTGTAGAGGGCTAAAGTGAGCATCCAGGCTAGGCGGCGGCCCTGCAGGTCGGAGAGGGAAGACATCAGAGCCGGAGTAATGCCCTGCACCAGGGAGAAGACGGTGACCAGGAGATTCATCTGTGTTGTGCTGACACCATAATTCTGTTGCAGGATGGGGAGGACGGGGAGGACAATGTTGGTGGCGATCATCGTGGCGATCATGGCGAGGCTGGTCAGGGTGATAATAAAGATTTTGCGCGGGGTGCTGATCACGCAGTAGGGGGGTGTCAGAGTGACTTCACTGGAGGAAAAAAAGGGCTGTTTTGCAACGCCCCCTTGGGCTTCAAGGGTATTTTCGTGTGCCATGGTGTTCGTGGTGTTGGTGATGGTCCTCGTCCGTGACGGCCCCTTGCGGGAAAGGAGTTGCAATCCAGTTCTCGATCCATGATGGGGAAAAACTGGCTAATAAATAGATACCCTGCGCCTACCGGGCTCCCTGCGGTTTCTATGAGCCAGGGGAAATTTTTTGAGATGGTACAAAAAATTTGACTTTTGAACCATGGATGACTGGCACGGGATTACCCTCGGGAGTGGCTGTCACGGCGAGGGCAAAGTATATGAATATTGATGGAAGAGTCGCCACCCCCTAACCATCAAGTACAAACCCGTGGAACCGAACCTAAAGCGCGCAAGCCTTCCCTATTGTGGCCACAGTGGCCAAGCTGGCGTGCCCATTTTCGTGCCTGAACCAGTTACCGAAAGCCACGGTCCAGATGTCAACTACAAACCCCTCCCAAAGATACCACGTACTATATGGGTTAAGGGGATGCTGCTTTCGGAGAGCTTGCTACCCGTGGTCAATATTCACACGCCGAGTTTGTCCGTGATCCTTCTCGGCTTCTAAAGTAGCCCAGTTCTAGAGTAGAAGGATTGCGATATTCCTGGGTTCATGCCCCACAAACTTCGCGTTGACGAGGGTCATTCGGAACGTATCACAGTCCCGGAGAGGTATATGTGTATTGTACTGGCCGGTGTTGGTCCTTTTTGTATCAAACACACGGTCGAGGGTTGAGAGAACCTCTCTTAATAAAGTATTATCAGACAATCCTAAGGCTGAGGTATATGAAATGGAGGATTGGGGATAAGCTCAAAAGATACTAGGTATATAGTTAACATACATTCAGTTCTGGTCGCTAGTGATTGTTGAGAACCTTCATGAGAACTACACAAAACATATCTCTGTGCAGTTGTAGACAAACTCTGATAACTGTGATAAGGACCACCAGCAAAAAATTCTTCCGTCAAGCATTATTTAAGATGTACTTTCACATTCTCTTCAGCGAAAAAAAGATCAAGATAGACAAATGTCTCCAACTGCTTACCTGGCAGAGTTTGGCCTATTTTGAACTTTGACCCGGACCATGCGGAGCCGGCCCCCGCACTCTTCTAGAGGGAGAGGAAAGACCTCTCTACTCACCAGCATTTGCAGCTCCTACACTGACCATCCTTTCATAAGAGAGTACTATTGATGGGAGGACTTCATGAAGGCATATTGCTTATTCAGCTCCCTGTCCAAGTCGCCAGCTATCAATAGACCTTCGTCCGCAAAGATACCACTGATTCACGGCATCGTACGCAGTGATAGAACGTTCACAGGAGAGAGGCTACTCTTGTGCGATATATAGTACCATGGCTCGCTCAATGCTTTCAACAATCCCTCCTCGTACACGATCGCATGGGAGAGCATAACATCGTCATTGCGTCGTGAGCCTCCGAACTCTGCAGAACTACCTCCGCTGAGACATCGCGGCCTCAGGTCTGCTTTCTTTTCTGCCATCCATCCGAGTCGGCCCTTTCGTTTAGCATAAGCAGCGATGTCGCTCGCCCTGACGAAGACCGCGATATCAGGTCAGGTCGCGTTGTCACGAGCCAACTTTCTGGGACTACAGGAAGCTTCTGCCAGTCCAACTCAAGGCAAAGTCAGCTGTCCGGCGTGAAAGCGAAGGCTTCCTTAGCCCGCCTCCAAGGGTCCCTGGGGTCCCCCCTTTATACGCTCACGAGAATGCAGATAAGAAGAACGATTTAGCAAGATGTTGGCTATCCTCACCAGGGCTTTGGAACCCGACCACCTTTGCAAAGCGTCATGCGAGCACGCGGCTGGCCTGGACTACAAGAGCTGCGACGCAGACGGGGAGATCCAGCGTGATGCTCGAGACACCACCGACCCTAAGATACACTACTGTTCCTGAAGCTGTCGGAATTCCAGACACAAGGAGCAGGCAGGGCTTCGTAAACAATACAGGATTGAGGGTCCCGGTAACCAGAACACCATGGTCGAGCCTGCTAGGGCCTGATCTCATCCCACAGCATGATGGTCCTGTGTAGCTGTCGACGGAGGAAAGCCTTCCAGCGCCGATCTACCGTGCATCGACCTATCGCTACCATGGCAAAGGATTACAGATACGCTGTCAGTAGTGGTGTAAAGCCTCTAGACCCAGGCGCATCGCCAAAGAAAATATCAGAACTCTGGTATATGGATAACAAAGAATCGTGCGTGCAGCCGTGCACTGTTCTCGCCAGTGCGGGCCTTGACGTTATAAGCCCCACTATAGCATTCCCTTGGGCTAAGATGCAACTTCTCCAACTGACCCGAAAAGTTGAACCCAGCGCCCCGGAGCTTTTGGAAAGTTCGGTCGAGGTCATATTTGAGAGCTACACTGCGCATGATGGCGTAATTACTGTCAAGATAGTCGTGAGACAGCCCTCGTTGACGCGCTTCGGTGGCCATCCGCTGGAAGGCCCGGCCGACGGCGCGATGAACACGTATGTTATCCTCACAATGCCTCCACAGGGTGTCCGCGTTGAACATGATGAATGGCTCCGTCCCCGCAAGTCCTGTAATGCTTCTGCCTCTGCGTGCGGCCCCTTGAGTCACGCCCGTGGTGACGAACTGGATTGCCAGCTGCGGCTTCAGGTCACGAACTGTGTCCAGCAGCGGCTGCATCTCCTCCTTCCAGATCTGAGTGCAGTAGGGTCAGTATGCCAATCTCGGCCTTGATGGCGAGTGTCCACAGTGTCGCCTGCATGAAAGACGGGTACTCCATGGCCATTTTCGTCACAAAACCCGTTTGGTGGCCGATGACGGTGGAATTCAAAAGCGGGGGGACCTTACGCATCTCCCGGTATGCTGAAGGGTTCGCAATGGCATCGCATTACATGACCGAGGCGCCCCAGATCCAGTCAGACCGTGCGGGGTCGATGGGGGCGGTTGTGAGCGCGAGGATGAGAAAGGCCTTTGGGTCTTCCTGGCAGCAGATTGCGCCCGTCTGGAGCCAGGCCTCCATCACAGCCGCACCACGCTCATACTCCCCGCACCAATCGCCCCCCCACATGCCTGTGTACGGGTAGGCCTCGAGCGTAAACGAGGTGACGATGCCAACAACCGCCCCGCAGCGCCCGATAGAGGTCGGGATGGCTCTCGGCACTTGCATTGACGATCAGGCCGTTGGCGAGGACGACTTCGTAGAAGCGGACATTATCGGCTCCGAGGCCGTACAGGTTGGAGTCGCACGAGATGCCTCCTTCCAGGAGGAAACCACCTAGCCCCACGGTCGAGGCCCGCTCGCCGACCACTGTCAGCCGCAGAGGCTGAATTGCCGTGTACACGGCCATCCAGCGATTGCCAGGCCCGACCGATGCCGTACTCCGGTCATCCGCGACGGTCACACGGTTCAGGCGAGCAAGGTCAATCAACACCCCGTGGCCGTCGATGGATGACTCGCCCAGGAACTTCCCGTGACCGTTACTTAATGGGTGGTAAGGTGATGTGGCCAGAAACTGAAATCCAAGCTTATCGGGGGGGTTCCACCGCCCCTCGGTTCCCGGTGATGGGAGGCAAAGTTGCGCGCATGCCGCGGGAATCCGAAGTGCCGATTTGTTGGAACGCTGCGAGATTAGGTTGTGTATCTGATATCACACTTGACCAGATTACTCCAGTTACCCCAAGACGGAGACCCGATAGGGGGTTGATCCGCTTACGTGAAAACTGATCCCGCAAGTACGAGGGGACCTGTTCCGTGCCAAAGAAAAACACACTACGCCAAAGAAAAAGCCATAGGGAAACGGTGGTTGATCGATGATTAAGAGTGAACTGTGGTGGACGACTCAGCGCAGCTGTGAAAGAAACTCTCGCAACACCTGCATCACTCGCTGCGTGTGTTCCGCCGGATGGCAGATATTCAAGGACAGAAACCCTCGGAAGTCAATATAGATGGCCCGCTGCAAAAAGAAATAGTACATGGCCTCCCGGACCCGCGTGCCTTCGGGTCTCTCAAAATGCAGTCCAATGGCACTTCCAAAGCCCGTGACTTGAACGAGCCCCGGGTGCTGTTCCGTGACCAGCTCCTGTATCTCCTTTCGCAGATCATCGCCCAACTGGCTGGTTCGCTCAATACGGTCTCTCGTAAGCAGGTTCACCCTCGCAATACCGGCAGACATGGATCACAGGTTGTTGCACCAAGTACCCGAATGCAGCACACTGCCGGGCTGCCGACAATCCATGGTTTTCATGATTTCGCGACGCCCACCGTAGCATCCAAAAGAGAAGCCGCCGCCGCAGAACTTGCCCACGGTCGTCATGTCCGGAAGAATGTTGAAATATTCCTGCAAACCGCCATAGTACAGCCTTGAGGTCACCATCTCGTCGAAGATCAGAATCGCCCCGATCCGCGTGGCTTCGTTCCGGATGGAGGTCGGAAACGCCTTGGTCGCAAGGACACAGCCTCCGGCCCCCTGCAGCGGCTCCAGGATGATCACGCCAAAATCCTCGCTCGATGACCTGCCTGATAAATTCGTGATCATTGAACTGGCTGAGTATAAACGGATGGAGAAGCTGAAGCGGGTCGGAGGAAGGAAAGAACGAGGTGACACTGCCATGGTATCCATTCTCGAAAGCGAGCACCTAGGTAAGGCACGGAGGCGTCCACAGTAGTCCTGAACTCCCGAATTTTGCTGATCAGGGAAGCGGCGAGGTACAAACCTTTTTCTTCTGAGTGTAATTCTGGGCCACCGCAATGGCCATCATGTTGGCCTCGGTGCCGGAATTGCACAACTGCACCATGTCCAAGCTGGGAATGCGATCAACAAGCAGGCGAGCAAGCTCCCCCTCCCGGTCATTGGGCGCCCCCAGCGTGTGTCCAGCAGACAGGGTGGATTGGACCGCGTCGAGGATTGCGGGGTGCGAGTGCCCAAACATGGTGGCATTGTATCCCGACAAGAAGTCCAGGTACTCCTGCCCATCCAGCGATGTGACATGGCAGTCCTTGCCAGACCGCATGAAAATGGGGAATGGGTGGTGGAAGAATACGGCTCTCGTAACCCCTCCGGGGATCACCTCGCACGATTGAGCGTGCTGGGCCTCCGATTTGGGGTTGACTGCCAGATATTGGGACTGCAGCTCGGTGAGAAGATAGTCCAGCTTGTGCGATAAGGAAGTGCGACCCATGTCCGAGTCTTGCATTTTAGAAATTGTGCAATAGAATGTGAATCGATGGTAGAAGCAAAGGTAGTAAGTAGTATCTACCACCCAATCGTCGTCAGATATATCAGAAGTCGTGCTACTGTCAGTCTTGCCAATCGCGATGGTCGGGGGGGGGTTTGGGGGTGGAAGCCTCGGAATCCGGTTTGACTGCTTTTTGGCTGAAACTCCATCCGCGCATCCCGCGGGGTCTCGCTATAGGGAGGGGAATTTGTCTGAAGCAGCGATAACCTGAGGAGGGGCAATCCGAGGGCCGAGTAAAAGCGTTCCACAAGGTTATCTATCGATAGCGCTGCTGGTCGATTGTCATCTGGCGACCCTTGAAATACGTCGGGTGAAAGCCTCGCCAGAATTGGAGTGCTTGTCCACACATTGCTTGTTCTTAACTCTTACCTCTCTATCACTCCATGGCTATCCCAGATCTAGTTATCCCGGGAGCGGAGCAGCTCGCCATCAATGGAGGTACTCTTGACAAGGCCGCCGATATCGAGCTTCAGTATGGCGTTGAGCGCGCCAAACGACTCTGACCGGATGGTCTGACGCAGTATATCGACACACTCCGCTCGGACAAGTTTCGACATTTCTCCACCGACCCATGGGCATCGAGTTGTGATACTGTTCCGCTTCCGATAACCCACGACTTCCGGACAAAGGTGTTGATTGTAGGTGCAGGTTACGTCTCCCTGCTCTTTGCAGGCCGCTTAATTGAACAAGGTTTCAAACCGGAGGATCTTATCTTTGTTGACTCCGCCGCGGGGTTTGGCGGGGTTTGGTACTGGAACCGTTACCCTGGACTGATGTGCGACGTCGAAAGCTACATCTACTTGCCATTGATCGAGAAGACCGGGTTTGTGCCAAAGCACAAATACTCCTACGGCCAGGAGCTTCGTTACTACGCCAATCTTCTTGCAAAGACCCCGGGAGTTGATGGCCGAGGTGTCTTCCGCTCCACTGTGACCGAGGCTGTCCGGGACCAAGGCAACGCCCAGTGGGACTGCCAACTGAGAACGCACACGGGCGAACAGGTCACCGTTCGGGCCGACTTGTTAATCCTGGCCTCCGGGGTGCTCAGCCGCCCCAGGGTGCCTTGTATCCCAGGCATTGAGCACTTCAAGGGCCATTGTTTCCACACCTCACGGTGGGACTACAACTCCACGGGGGGCTCCTAAGAGAAGAGTGGTCTCGTGAATCTTACGGATAAGCGCGTTGCGATTATCGGAACGTAGCCACGTCGATACAGATTGTGCCCGAGCTGGCTAAATGGGTCCAGGAGCTGGTCGTCTTCCAGAGGACCCCGGCGGCAGTCGACATTCGGAATTAGTGAGAGACGGATCCGGTCGAGTTTCAGAAACAGGTCGCCACATATTCTGGATGGCAAAAGGACAGAATGATCAACTTTGTCTTGTTTTTCAGCAACCTCTCGCGCAAACCCGAGATCAATCTTGTGGACGACGCATGGACGATATTCCCATCATTCAGCGGGGTGGTCGGTGGCCCACACGCCCAGTCAATCACCCCTGACAATCTGGCTCAGTATGTCGATATAATTCAGAAGCTCGACATGGTCCGCCAGGACCGCGTGCGTGAGATAGTCCATGATGCTGAGATCGCCAAAGCTCTCCACCCATGGTGTTCGGGGTTCTGCAAGCGTCCGTGTTTCCATGACGATTATCTCGGCGCATTCAACCGGCCGAACTTCAAGATCGTCCACACCAACGCCAAGGGGGTGGAAGAATTCACGGAGCGAGGCATTGTCTCCGATGGGGTTGAGCATGAACTCGACCTCATCATTTTCAGAACGGGATTTGAGCCCTTCACCGTCGGCATTCCTGCCTATCGCGCTGGAATCAGGATCAAGGGTCGTGGTGGACTGGACATGGACGACAAGTGGGCCGAAGGTGTCAGCACTTTTCACGGAATTCTTAGCCGGGGCTCTCCCAACCTCATTCTGACGGGGTATACGCAAGCTGGCGCAACGGTGAATCAGGTCCACCAGATGGGTGTACAGGCAGAACACGCCGCACATATCATCTCTGAGGCGCTGAAGCGTGCGGCTGCCGACGGCAAAAACAGGGTTGTCGTCGAGCCGACGGAGTCGGCCGAAGAGGAGTGGGCCATGCGGGTGGTGTCACAAGCCCATGCCATGGCCATCTTGTTGAACTGCACTCCCAGTTACACGACCGCCGAAAGCGCGCTCCGAGCGGATCTTCCGCCGGAAGTCCAGCTCAAGGCTGCTCAGGGCGCGACTTGAGGGGCTGGGATTCTAGACTACGCGCAGGGTCTCCAGGAATGGGAGGAGCAAGGAAATCTAGAGGGTCTGGAGGTGACAGCGGCAGCATCCTAGAGAGCCTACTGACTACAATGAATAATTAGAATTTCTATTATCTTCCGTGATGCATTCTTTAATTGGTAGACAACGACATATATGTGCTTCTGCGGATCCAGCGGGATGGCTGAGGAGGCGCAAAAGGGGAATAAGTGTCTCTACTATGTCTGATTTGTTGAACTCGCAGATCGTAAACACGCCACTACTGGACACGCACGCATTCCGCGGACTCTGGTCCAGAACGAGTAGGAAACTCTGATCGCGTTGCTTCTATTAAGGCAGGCCAGCGCCCACCCCATCCACACTCTATTCTTCCCATTCCTACCGACACTCTTTGAACCACCATGGACCGTTTCAATTCTGCCCTCCAGAACACCACTATCTATCTCGGCGTGCTACTACCTGGTGAAAACCCCCAGTACGAAAGACGCGCTCTTCGTGGAACTGGAGCAAAGAAGGGTGGAGGGCCACATGGGCCAGCCCGGCCAGCTGATGTCTTATGAGCAGACCACGCATTGCCCCTATCTCCAGGCAGTCATCTACGAAGCTCTACGCCTTCATCCGGTCGCCCCGGGCACCCTGCAGCGGGAAGTGCCTGAGGGTGGATTGCAAGCGGCGGGATATTTTGTGCCCCCCGGGGTAAGTAGCTGCCGTTGATCAGAGCTCAGAGCGGAAACCGGATTAACGAAGACAGGTGGTCGTTGGAACTCCAGCCTGGGTAATCAATCGCCTTCCGGAAATCTGGGGAGACGAGCCCGATGCATTCCGGCCTGAACGGTGGCTGGATGAAGGCAGAAAGCGTGAGATGCGTGAGCCTTCCCTCGTCAGTCCTGTCCCTCGCCTCTATCTAGGGATAATAACCGTTACCTAGTCAAATACCTCTTTGCCTTTGGCGGAGGAACCCGGAGTTGTCTAGGAAAAAGTGCGTCGTTTCTCTCTTTCTCTCTCTCTCACACACAGTTCCAAAGGGCCTTCTTACTATTGTGCTTGGTACTAGATCTCTCTCTCATGGCAGCAAGCAAGGTAAATAAACCCCTCCCATTCCCATTGGTACTTCTCGCCTCACGTACTAACGTATCTTCCAGTTGATACTCAACCTACTGCTTCGTTTCCAGCTTGAACCCTCCAAGTTAGTCTCGGAATGGACGGTCACAGGACAGTAAGTTTCCATTCCACCGGTGCCTGGTACCAGACAGATCAAGACGTAACCTGGAACTCAGTTTCTTAGCGGGTCCGTACACCAGACCGACTTCCACGCCCAAATTCGTGTAAGGGAATGAGCGAGCGGTTAGTGCCCCGCTCGCCTGCGAGACAGGTGGGAAGGCGGCCGGGTGGTGGCCAAATAGTACCTACTTAACTTAACTCCGATAATTACCCAATGAAGACGCGTTCGGAGTTCGTACCTCAATCGTATTACTCAATGGTACAACAGTTGTAGTACACGTGTCTCATCGTTCGTTCACGTGGCTCCCCGTCAAGCACTCGACCCCCTGCCATGGAGCTTATGCAAGCCGATCCGGGGGGAGCCGCTAATTGCAGCCCCCGCGTTTCCCAATGATAAGCATGATACGGAGCAGTTGAGTTCGGCAATTCGGTATCATCAGCAGGCGGGACGTCTTTCCGCGCCTTCCGTGAGAAGATACCCTCCCTCTTCTGCAGCCTTTTAAATTTATCGCAGCGTGTTCACTAAGTGGTCGATAGGGGAGAATCCGGGTTTCGGTCCCATTGTTCGCAGAGATTCGCTCGCGCGATACGGTGAAGGTCAGAAGTCTAGGTCTCTCCCCACACTGACAGCAATCAGATAGACTCTGCACCCACACGAAGGGAGCGGGGTGACTAACCTATCGCCTAGGACTTGAGGCAAAACGCGTGTATACAACATGGTCCAGGAGGCACCAGGCCTGGCTGTGTGCATCGGCAAGACTTGATCCTCGTCTTTGTTTCTTGTTCCTGTTGCTTCCCGTTGTCAAAACTCAGTGATGGGGTCCAGCCTAGCATACGATGCCAAGGTCCCTGTTGCGGGGGACGAGACCAAGGTCTCTTGCACAGAGGAATCGCCCTCGCCCCGTGGGAGCTAGTAGCCCCGGGAAAGGATCTGAGAAAGATACTAAACACGATCAGTAGGCGAGTGCCTTTGTAGGCGAGCGGCCTGTGTAGGCGGCGACTAGCCCGCCCAACTGTTATCCTCAGATCGGGGGTCGGTTGACATCCATACTGCCCTTTCATTCCGCCTTCAGACTAATGTATCTAGCTACCTAGCAGCCTGCCTAATTAAAATTATTATTACACTTTCTATAATCTACTACTTTTGAAACTGAAATCTACTGTGTCTGATATTATTCTAAATCTACTCCTGTAATCTATATCCTTGGATACCCTATGGCAGGGAAACAGAAACCCTGACGCAACACTGCTTAGAGAGCTTTTGCCAGATGAGCTTGGGTATTCTAAGGGAACGTGAGATTCATAGGGAAGATATGCCCGTGTTAATCCAAAGTGGGCCAGTTTGATTTGGCCTCTTTCCGGTCGCTCAATGCACCAAGTATGATGAGTCTTGACTCCAAGATATCAAAGGAGACATATGAACGTATTGACGGTGGGAGATCGAATTTGTTACGGAAGACGTGGTCAGGGTATACTGTACATACTTTACACATCGATGCTTCTCCAGCAGCGTCACACTCTGTAGAAACAACAAGGTAATACGGGTGAGCAATATTTGTCGGGCGGAATTAAATCTCAGACCGATTCAAACTGCTATAATTGTTCTACCACAGCTTCTCGAAAGATCTTCAGCTCTTGGAAGGTCAAAAGGTGAGCGACTCTTGTGTACACTGATAGTTTGTAGAAGCTCAGGGGTCAATCATGATCGATTAATTGGCGGTCCGGTCATCGGCTTCAATGAACATGGAATCCTTTGCCCCGCTGCCCTAACTTGGAACCTAAGGTACCCTTGGAGTTTTAGTTACAGTGGATCCCTGCTACTCCGATGTACTATGGACTTCTACGTTCTCTGTACAACAAGTTGATCAGCAATGGCTAAACGGTGCCTTTCCATAGTACCTGGTAGCTTGGTATTTAGCCAGGCGTCGCCTCTGCCCCTGCCGGCTAGGGCTCTTTCCTGGTGTCGATGGGGATGCTGGGACCCGGCGCTTTTGGCTCGGAGCCGGGGGAACGGGAGAAATCTTTGCGCTGAGCGGCCCCTGGATTTGTGATACGGTGAGGGCCCATCTACTGTACTTTACTTTTCATGCATCATGTATCTCATCAAGATCGTTTGTCCGCACGCACCTATGGGATCTGCACTAATCACGAAGGGAAAAATAAGGACAGCAGATGACGCCTAGCAAAGGATAACAAAGCTCACTAGTTTAAAAGAGGGTATATCAATAAATAGAATCTATTATCCGATACTGAGAGTGGGGGAGGAAAGGAAAATATCATACGGCACAAAGATGGTCATGGACGACCAGCGCACAAAGTAGAAAAATCCAATCGATATTTTATCATATCATCTCAAAGCCTCATAGTACTTTGCTTGATCTATCAAGATTCGGAGAGTCAGTTAAGCTTAGTCTATATGGGTGGGGTTTTCGTACGGATCGGCAGAGACTTTTTGCCCGGCCTGAGCACCAGAGTACGCTCTGCCCCGGTATCATCAGGAGTCTCCTTGGGAAGGGGAGTTTGATCGTCAGTGGTCTGATTACTTTCAGCGTCCGCTCCCACATTTCCATCCCCTTTGCCAGTCACGGGAGTTGACTCACCTGTAGGGATGATAAACCAATCTGCGTCGCGCAGTACTTCTGGGAATTGCTCCAGGTCCAGCTCGGTGCCCTGGAACACCATCACGGTCCAGCACCGGCGCCCGTCGGGCAGGAAGTCCTGGTCGATGCCCCAGACGCCGGGGATCCCGTACACGCGGCCCGAGATGGCGAGCCCCGTCGCCTCGAAGACCGCCCAGCCCGCGATCTCGACATCCACGGCCCGGCCGCCGTATTCGTAGGGGACCACGCTGGATAGCACCGCCGGGTCGAGGATGTGCTTCAGGGGATTGAGACGATCCGCCGGGACCGTGCAGATGCGGGCGAGTTTGCTGTCGCTGTCGCGGTCGCTAAGGTTGCTGGCCACTACCTCCCGCAATTTCTTGTACCATTTGTCGTCATGGCGGATTTCGGCTAGGAGTTGAAAGTATTCTGGACCCTTGAGGGTGCTGAGCCTGTCGCGTTTCTCTTGGAAGGGCTGCATTCTGTGGCCTGTCAGCGGGTCGATATGTGGTAGATATCAAGGTGATGAGATGTCGACCGGGACGTGGGTGGTAGGGTGCTGATGGAGGCAGGTTGAGGGCTGAGGTTTATATTTGATGAATTCTTTCAAGTATCCTTCTTGAAAGGACTCATCGACATGGAGAGTTTCTGACTGTCTTTATGGTGTTGATGGAGATCCCCATCTTGTTCTCGTGGAGCGGTGTTTGTGTGTTATGGCGGGCCTGGTGAATTCTTTGTTTTCTCACTAGCAATGCCTTTAGAGGGATCGGCCAGAGAGTGAATGGATGATACTTTGATAGGGAACAACGACTCTGAACAGTAGACAGTTCTGGTTCTGGTTGGTCTGTGATATTTGTTCATCGTGAACTGCTGTCAATAGATGTCAGTTCTTACACGGCTATGAGACTCCGACCTTCTCGGCACTTTACACAAACAAGTCATGTGAATCTTACTGGAAGAGCTTCTAAGAATCCTTTTCTAAATGCTATTATAATCCAGAACAGTTTTTAACATCTTACTACTGATCTTCTGTACATCTCTGGCTTTACTTTGAGCTCACTTATGCTTTTGTTATGCGCGGTGGAAGACTAGGGGCCACGGAGCCTGGGGTCGGCAGCCATCTATCTCCTGACTCACCAATTTCTTCAAGTCTCACTTGTTTGAAAATGGCAAGTCGTTCCCTCCTACAACTATTTCTTGAAATGACTGAAAGTTATTATCAATTTGTGTTGCATTCTTTGTACCTACTCCTAATGCTGTTGGGCTTAGTATAGGTATTACTCTTTAGAGCATGTTCTCCCGTTTTCAACTGGACTCTATTGCATGTCCATGTCGATCTTAATAAATATATATAACATATTTTAAGTAAGATAAGGTTCAAGACTGCTTTATATCTTATATATCAAATAGTCAGAGAAAGCAAAAAAAAAAATAAGAAATAAATAGAGTACAGAAAATAAACAGAGTACAGAAGATAAAAAGGTAGCTAGGCTTTCAGTGTAGCAGTGTACCCCTTCGGCTAAGAGACTAGCCAGTTAAAAAATAAGTATACTGTTATAATATGAGTACAGAGGCTTCTATTAATAGTGGCAGAACTTCGAGACGGTCAATTCCTCCGAACTTTGTTATCTCCAACAATTATCATATCAATCATATCAAGTTTCACCATATCACCCAAAGGTGCTTTGTATGTATGCTATCTTCCTGTTCTGGTTATAATCAACTTAGCTATATATATAAAATGCTTTATAGGATGTTTATATAAAGATATTGATTTTCAGTTTTAAAAATATATGTTGTGTTAATAAAAAATCCTAGCTAGCCAGCCAGCCCGCATGTGGATTATGTTACTCGGATAACCGCTGATATTGGTTGACAACTTTCACACTTATACAATGACAATGTACATGGGATCTGGAGTAATAATGTCATTATTTTTGATGTTTTCCTTTTGTAAATTGTGCTATTGTAGTAGCGTTTCATCCCAATGTTGGCACGAAAGTAGATGCTCATAATAATAACTTATGAAACGGCAGTGGGTAGATGTCGCTGGCCGCCTGTCTGGAAACCAATCGGAGATGTCCCACATGCTGACTCAGGCACCCCTCCTCACGTGGACCAGATGTGTAGGTCCGTCTGCATTTGTTCTTAATTCATTATTTATCTCGTCGGCTTTGGCGTCATGGTTGCTCCTTTCATATGCAGGCAGTGCCTCACCAGATTTTCCACCAACACCCATTTGCGTCGACATGAGGGATCCCGTAGGCTTTCCTTTCCTAATGTGTGTAATACCGCTTTGCTGACCCAGCACGAACTGCTTAGATTTTCCACGACAACCACATCAATGCTTCTTTTGCGAAACTAGCTTCCACCGAAAGTGCGTCTAGACCTTCTCTCGAGACACAAAGCATGCTAAGAAAGCCCTGACTAGGGACACTGCCCGTCGCCATGCGAAAACATGTCCGAAAAGACATGGTCGGCCACTTCCCCGGACCGAGAAGAAAGGAAGACCGCGACAGTCCTGTGATAATTGCGCTTACAACAAAGCATCTTGTAATATGAAACATCCGTGCGGCCACTGCCAAAGCAAGGCCCTGGTATGTCTCTATACGCGCGTCCAGCCTCTTTTCCAGGAATCTCTGCCGGGGGTGCCTCCCCCGGAACAGGATGTCGGAGCTGCCCATAGGACGGTAGTGGAGAGCGCCTCTGCGCCGCCTGGGGACGCTGAAGATACATTGATTAAGGCGCGCATTCCGTTCCTGCTAAAATATTACAATACCCAAAACACGTTCTTGGACATGTATCCGGCGCTTGATTCTGGGCGGGCAAGGACTGTCGAGACTTCTAACTTGGGGAGCCAGGCTGCCAATATAGCTCCTGAAATTGCGGATTGTTACCCCTTTGAAGAAAACCTGGGGTATTACTCATCTGGCTGGCCTATGAGCATTGAGCCTGATAATCAAGGAATAACTCATGCAACTCCTGATGAACCCAAAGAACCCAAAGACAACATATTGGGCGAGACTCTCGCCCAACGCGCGCAAGAAGTGCTTGAAGCTCTAAGGAGCTTTGCCACCTGCAACCCGTCACGAACCCATCTGGATAATGCCATCGATCAGAATCTTTTCTCAGCAGAAAACATACTTGCATTTACGCATCTCTACCTGCAACATTGCCACCGACATTGTCCGATCCTTTACCTCCCAGCATTGCAGGCTCAATCTACAACTGTGCCATTGCTATTGGTACTTTTTCTAGGCGGCTCGTTACACTCATATCCGAGAGATACTTTCGATCTAGCCGTGGATTGTTTTGATATTGCCGAGGAATATTTGTTCAGCTTGCCAGTATTTAACCCAGGTCAAAGGAATTCTCCGTCTTCAGAGTTAGAGGAACACGAGGCACTAAAGGCAGGCGTAATTCTCTTACACTTGCAAATCGGGCGCAATCAACCTGGCATTCTGCAAAGGGTAAGATACCAGAGATTCCCCATGTTAGTACATGCCGCGCGGTCCCAATCCCTTTTTTGTTGTCGGCGCCATGACGAGTCGCCACGGTCGGCGTGGAAATCTCGGGACTGCCAGAAGGAGTCAATGATCAGGTAGTACCGCATCCTTTCAATATAGCAGACACGTGTAAACCTCGCTTGTCTAGGGTTTGCTTCATGGCCTAGATTTTGCATTACTGATCCCCTGGCACAGGACGGCCGCCTTCATTCTGCTACTTGACAGCCAGTTTGTGGTATGTCTACGCTCTCCTCCGATGATCACGATCGCAGAATCAAAGGCAGATTTGCCCTGCAACGAGCTCCTGTTTGCCAACTACTATTCGTCACCATGCGCCAACACCCCACGGTCACCTTCCGTCCCCGAGGTGATCGATCTCCTCATGAATGGTGCCTGGGACGGACCCAGCCATCCCGCCCTCAACAATCTTGGTATTTTCGGGCTTTTTACTGTGATAGCTGGTCTGTATCCACACCCCGCAGAACCCTTGAACCGTATTACCAAGACTCATGGGTTCCCAGGGCTGCACGTGGTAATATTCTCGGCCTTTGCAAGCCGGATGATGCAAGTACAATTGCCTTCCCTGGATCGCGCCTTGTCCAGATGGAAGCTGCTATGGGAGAGGCTGATGTCACGCATTAGCACCGAAGAGATGGAGATGGCCGGCTTCATGAACCGGGCCAACGAAATATGGCTCATTGCCAAGGTGCTTTTACGCACCGACTCGGACGAATTCTTCAGCGGGATTGAAAGTCGGTCGTGGCAGGCTTTCAACCGCCTGCTTCGACGGGTAGGCGAGGTGGCCGATTGACACCCCTTGTATATCGGGATAAGCAATTACTATTGAGTTTGATGCCATCTAAGGCCGTTCTCCGGTGTCCTTGACGTTCTTTGGACCCCGTTGCACATCTTGACAACACACACACACACACACACACACACACCAGGGGTTGGGGCGGGACATTATTGATTGACCCCATACTGTGAACTGGAGAAAGAATCGCAAATGCAGTGAGATTGAGGGCGAAAAGACCATCGATCGGCATAAGCTCGTTTCACGCACAAACTCTGAATTTAGCCAATGAAACAAACCGAAACAAACTACCTGGGCGACGTCCTGTCTCCGGGGGGTATGCAGACACACGTCGGTTTTCTATAAAATCGTTGGGCTCCGACGAGTCACTTGTCGTTTCTGCCTGCTTGACTGTGTAGTTGTCCAGGCCAGTCGGAATCGGTGCTCCAGGGATAGAGACCGGCTTTCCAAGGTTACAGGAATGGACTACACCTACTGTAGCTATCTGGATGGTGATATTACTTGCGTGTATAGTTGTGGGAAGGGTCACTTTTTGCGATTGCTAAGCAGTGAGTCCCGCTTGCCTCACTACCGTAACGGAACAATCGGCAAGAAAGCAGAAACACGAAACAGATGAAGGACCATTGCGTTGCTTAGTTCTATATCTTACATAACAATAACAAAGGCCAAGTGAGCATCAACACATCGCCGAATAAGATGCAGGACACCTGGTGTGTCCATCAGATCCTCTATCTAGGAGGAGATATCGATGCCTGCTTTTGCTTCTACTGCATGACATAATTGACGAAAGTATAAGGGCTAATCGACACCCCCACCCACGCAAACAGAATGCCAAAGTCCTATCCAATACGCGAATGAGTCCCAAAGAGAATTGTGCGCAGGGCTTCGACAACTGTGGAATATCATCAGGTCAGACGCAGGCTGCAGGAGGAGCCCATAATGGATGGGAAGTGAGAGGAAGAGGGGGAGGGGGGAGGGCCAAACTCACTTCGGTGCAGGGGCCGCGCGTATCCCCAACGGAAGAAAGAGGGTGCCAGATCCAAGGCGTAAAAGCCCGTCGAGGCGTTCGTTATCACCCAAACGATCGGAAAGATGGAGCTGTACGGGGCTCCGAGCAGCATGGCCATGTTTTCGCACGGGAACTCCAAGGCGGCCATGCCGACCCAATTCAGCATCCAGAAAAAGACAAAGGAGCCGCGTTCGTACGCATTCGAGTTCAGCGCCGATCCGAACCCGCGCGCGGGGGTGTTGTTGAATGGGATCTGGAAGGTAAGCGAGACCAGGGAGTAGCTGAAGGCGAGAAAGCAACACGCGGCCAGATTGGATGTGATCCGCCAGGCGACCTAGTGGCTGGTTTTCAGGGGCGGGTGATTGCCCTTAAGGAGCTGCATGTGGACGGGCGTCAGGAAGGGAAAGATTAAAAAAATGCCAAGATGATCAGGTAAACCAAGCCCACCGTGACGGCAGGGATGGCCACGGCGGAGGAAAACGGCCGCAAGTCGAGCCGGTCAAACCCGATGGCAGGATTGACGGCCTGGCGGGCGTTTGTCTGCAGCAGTTGAGACGAGGTATTCTGCTCAGCCAGTTGTTCCACCCAGCGACGCCCAAAATAGCCCATGAACCCGCACTCAAAGGTGTTGAGTGCGGGCTCGATGTAAGTCGAGTATGTGGTTTGATCTCGGGCACTGATTGTGACGAACTGGGCGGCCTCTGTCGGTCTGTTGGCGGAGTCCCCGTTCCTTACAGCATGCAAGAGAAGGGCCGTTGCGTTAAAACTCACAATCACGGCTGCATAGATGTGTTCATCGTACACCGCTTGCTTCAGGGCCTGGGGATCGTAATTGAAATCCGCCGGCGACTGATTCGTGTATGCGAGACCCGTCGTAACACTCGCCTTGGAATGTGTGAATTTCATCATGGCTGGCCCAACGATTGGATCTTCCCTCACATCATGTCGAGTCTCTTCCTGGCCATCAAAATCAATCACCCAAACGGTCAGGTTATGCATTTTCTGTGGGACGCGGAACTGCGATGCCCGAAAAGGGACATGACGCTGAGAATCACGATACATAGGAGCAATACTGAAGAACCGAGTACGACAGTCAGCGAGATGTGTCATTTCCTTCCGGCCTCCATGCTGGAATGCCTACCTATTCTCGCCCACTGATGATAAACACGGCATTTGACATCCTTGATGCGAGGTTCGAAGAATCCCACGGGCTCCTTGTGGGCTTCCGCCATGGTCCGCAATGAGAGGAGTACAAGGCAGCCGATGCTATAGAAGCCAGGAGGAAAGGCAACGATGGACTCAAGCCAGCTCAGCGAAAATACCAATTCGGAGGTTACTCGGGTAGTGATCCCAGCTCTGAACAGGTTATGCGGCACCTGCTCAGTCTATTTGCGCCGGGACATCAATGACGACAGAACACCCCAGTGTGGGAGGACCCCGATTGGATAGATTCACGGTGGGATATTCCCATTAAAACATCGGATCCACTTTTTGACACCCCTACGGCTCGGACTTCGCCCGCAATGAAAAATAGCGGATTTTCTATATGCATTACCAACTCGTTCAAGTCGAGGCCGAGGGGACTGAAGTGAACCAGCTCGCTGTCAGCACCCCGAGAGGAACTGATCAGCGACGCATACGTGGGCCATTGGACCACTACACGTAAAAGGTCTCTTCTTTGGATGGATCTGTCTCACTTTTGGCGGACCTGCTTGTGGCGGAATACATCCCATTCGCGATAGGAAGAAGATGGCTGGTGAAACCATCCTTGCCGGCTTCCAAAAGCAGGATCCGTAGGCCTGGATGATCGTGACATCTTGCTTGGCGGAGGGGGACCCCGAAAAGCATAAAAATGCGTCCCTTTCCTGTCAGACGACGTTATTGTGAATTGTCATCTCCTTCCCAATCTTTTCTTTAAACCACTTCTCACCTGAATCGCGAGGGCCCAAAATCCGCCATGGCTGGGAAGTATCTGTTCACAGGGGGGTATGTTGCTACCATGGATGACTCGCTTGGAGACTTCCCCAATGGTGCGGTGCTGGTGGAAGATGGCCTCATCACAGCTGTTGGGAGGGCAGAAGATATCAAGAGCCCTGACGCGGAAATCATCGACACAACCGATGGGGTCCTCATACCCGGCATGGTCGACACTCACCGGCACGCATCTATGTCTTTGACTCGCGGCTTGGGAGCAGACCAATCGCTATTCCATTTCCTGTCCAACACCTACTTGAGATGGCTGCCAGCCACGAGTGTCCCCGACATGGAGCTCTCTTCGTATGTGGGCGCGTTGGAAGCGCTTGACAGCGGGGTGACCACGATTGTTGATACCTGCGAGTCCTTCCACTCCGGCGAACACGCAGAGGCTGAGCTCCGGGGGTTGCACAAGTCGGGAATCCGGGCTTTCTTCTGCTTTGCCATGAGTGACGACGCATACGGCAGTGCCGCGGTTGGAATGGACGGCTGGAAAGCCCGTCTGGCCCACGTCGGAGAGCTCAAGTCGAAAACGCCTTCTGACGCCCTCGTCCAGATCGGAATGGCTCTCAGTCAGCCCGGCACAGTTCCCTTTGACTTGACCCGTACGGAACTAAAGTTCGCCGACGAGCACGCGCTCTTCTGCTGCTCCCATTCGTGCGCCATCGAGAACTCCATCATCACCAAAGACATCGAAGAACGCGCGCAACACGGCCTGATGATGCCGGGCCACCTCTACATCCATTGCACCAACCTGACGAAGCGGGAAATTGGCCTCATCGCCCGGTCGCAGGGTAAAGTGTCCATCGCGACGGAAACCGAGATGCAGATGGGCATGGGAGTCCCTCCCATCCGAGCGTGCATCGAACACGGTATCCAGCCGTCTCTAAGCATCGACACCTCCAGCGCGGTGGCGCCCGATCTGCTCTCCCAGATGCGACTCGCACTGCAGATGCAGCGGTGTTTCGACAACGACGCCGTCCACCGAACCCGCCAGGTGCCCCTCGAACTGGACTTTGGCGTTCGCGATGCCCTCCGTTGGGGAACGAGGAACGGTGCGGAAGCCGTAGGAATGCTGGATCGAATCGGCACCTTGACACCCGGCAAACAGGCCGATGTGGTCCTCATCTCCTCCAAGCGCGCGCTGAGCGCATCGGCGTATCCCCTTGCGACGGCGGTTCTGCACTCCAGCCCGGCCGATGTGGACACTGTTATGGTAAAGGGGGAGGTTCGCAAACGCGACGGCCATCTGGTCGGACACGACATCGCGGATATTCGTCTCAAGGCCAAGGCCGGGCTACAACGGATCATGGAGAACGTGGAAAGGATGCGACCTGAGATGACAATCGAAGGGATTCGTCAATACCTTCTGGATGCAGAGAATTTGACTCGTTCTAACCTGGCCAAAGCCCATTTTGGCGAAAAGACGAGGGGAGATTGGATGAGGCAAAGATAGGCTGGCTCCGGCTAAGAGGGTTTTCTCTGGCGCCACCTTGTACAAGTTAAAAGATATGGATCAGTTTCCACTCTTTCATCATAAATTGAGATCTTTCATTCAAGAAAAAAAAAATAGAAAAGAAATCACACCTTTATAGCCGCTACAAGAGGGGAATCTACCTAGACACCAAATGCTAAAAAAAATAGGTGCTGTTGATGGCCGTGTAGCCTGTAGTTCTGGCATCCGATAGAGTCGAAGGATGTCGCCGGTTGTGGATCAGTGGGCTTATTCCGATTGGTTGGGAGGCGCACATGGTCGCGTCCCTGCGCCCAAGGAATACCTAGGAACTATAAACAATACCAGTGACTGCTTTTAAGATGATTCTCATCCGTGGCCCATTCCCATGCAGAGGACAGGCCAAGTGGGACTTCTCCTATCGGGCCTTGAAGAGTGGGGAGAGAAGCACTACATAGTATGCTGAACGAGTTGACTTCGAGGGGATTGTTGTGACTGGACACTCGGAAAAGCAACTCAACGAAGGGCCTTTATCTGGCGGCAGGTGGTGTAGTGGCAGGCAAGAATTGATACTTAGGAGACGTCCACCCTCCCCTCTCTTTCACTTCCCCAAATCCAACATATCATCCCCTCTCCATACTTTCCCACGCCAGCAAAAGCCATGACAACATCATCTTGTGCCTGTGATGCCGTTCGCATTGAGAATACTGGTGACCCCATTGAGAAGTAAAAGCGTGCTCTACCAAGACATCCCATCACTAAGGTACTGGCTAACTGGTCCTTCAGTTGGTGCGTCTGCTCTAGTCCTCCACGTGCGCCTAGTACAATCAGTATAGTGGACTGCTTGGCTAAGGCGGGAGCAAAACGCAGACTACTTGCGATCGGCGTGTTTATAAGTTCGATCGATTGTTGTTTGGGGATATAACAAAAGTATTTGGCAACTTCCAACGAATCGTCTTGGTGGCGCAATTGGTTAGCGCGTACGACTGTTAATCGTGAGGTTGAGAGTTCGATCCTCTCCTAGGACGTTTGGTTTCTTTTTTCGGTCAGAATCGGAAGTTTTTTTATTGCGCTTCCCTGTCACTTACAGTACACTCACAAGCATCCGTAATCCAATTCTCCCAGCAGACGTCTCATAATCTCTCTGGTTGCACCAGATTAACTTTTCATTGACATCAAAATCTCCGGCCCAAAGCTTGTTTACCCCGGACGAGTGGATCCACCATCATCATTCCCCGTGAAGCATACGTCATTTCCACCCACCACCACCACCACCACCACCACCTCCTCCTTCTCCTTCCATCTTTACCCCGGGAATTCCTGTATCAATCACATTCCCATTCGACCCTCCTTTGCTCTGAAGTCTATCCTTGCGCCCACGTGTACTCTGGTCTCAGTATTTTCAACCGACGTGGAAACACACTACCACTATCGTGCTCCAATGTCCGTCTCCTTCCAAGACCTGGGGACCTCCTTCCTCGGCGCCTTCCAGGCCTGCGTGTCCGTCCTGCTGACGCTGGCCTACGGCGTCATCGCCCGCTACGCCGGCTTCGTCAGCGAGACCTCCATTAAGGATGTCTCAGGCCTCGGGATCAAACTCTTCTTCCCGGCGCTGATGGTCGTGAACCTCGGGTCGAACCTGCATCTCTCGAGCATACTAAACTATCTTCCTATCCTGGGTATGTTCGTCCCCATATTTTTGGTTGCATTGGCCGGCACAGTGTGAATGGGCTACGATACTGACGGGCGTAGTCTGGAGCACGATCGTGGTCTTCGTCTCTCTCGTGATCGGCAAGCTCGGCGAGCGCGTCCTGCGTCTCCCTGCGTGGGTAACCGCCGCGTGCGCGTTCAATAATACCACGGCGCTGCCGCTGTTACTCATCCAGTCGCTGGAGAGTACGGGGAGTTTGAAGCGGTTGCTGAAAGATGGGGATAGTGTGTCCGATGCGGTGGACCGGTCGCAGAGTTATCTGCTGATTTGTGCGGTGGTGAGTAACCTTCTGACCTATGTGGTTGGGCCGAAGTTGTTGCAGCAGGCGGATGCGGAGGGAGATGCGAGGGGTTACAGGGAAGGCGAGGGGGATGAAGAGGATGGCGCGGATGAGCAGAGTCCGCTGCTCCCTGCGTCTGTCCGGCGGACGGGCTCGCAGATCCAGGGGAAGTCCCGCGCGGCCTGCGCCCCGCTCCTCCGTCTGCTTCCCGACAAGCTGAAGGAGGAGGCGCTCTCGTTCGACAACCCGACCGTTTTGAATATGTTGCTGGGGTTGTTTCTGGGAGGTCTGCTGGGCCTCACGCCGCCGCTGCACCGCGCGTTCTTCAATAAGAACGAGGACGGCGGGATCTTCAACGCCTGGCTCGTGCTGAGCATCAAGAACATCGGCAAGCTGTTCACCACCCTGCAGCTGTTCATCGTGGGCGGGAAGCTCGGCGTCAGCTTCCAGAATATCCAGCGCAGCGCCAAGAGCGGGCACGTCCCCTGGCGCGCTGTCGTGTTTGTCTTTCTCGTGCGTTTTGTGCTTTGGCCTGCGTATGTTTCCCCCTCCCTTCTGGCAGGAAGTGCATTGCTGACGCTGCTACTTCGGGGGTGTAGGATTAGTATCTCGTTGGTGTATGTGTTCGCCGCGAAGACCAGTCTGCTGGGCGATGATCCCATTCTCTGGTTCAGTATGATGCTCATGCCGACGGGGCCGCCGTCGTTGGTCATCTCCGGGCTGGCCGAGTTGGCGAATGTCTCCGAGGAGGAGAAGTTGACGGTTGTCAAGGCTTTGACGGTACGTGCCCGTGTGTGTGGTTGCGGGGCTGGTCTTACTGACTTCTGCGGTTGTAGAGCCAGTATTGTCTTTCACCGTTTACATCCTTCACTGTCGCTGGAGCGTTGCACGCTTCGGAGAAGATCTTTGCGCAGTCGGCTAAGTAGGTAGGAGATTGCTTGGCGATGGAGTATGAGGCTGTGTAGATTGTGTCTTGGTTGGACGGTATATAATCATGGTGTTTTGGATCGGGTAGAGGATCTGGACATGTTATGGTTAATAGTAAGATGTTAGAGGGGTAGACCTAGAGCTGAATATATTCACAGTGTCGATATAGCCAACTAGCAAATACCGTAGTCAACGATAGCAGGAGATCGGAATCAGCCCTGGGGCGGGTATCACCAGTGTACATGCCAACCAAATCACAGTAGCCACTGATCAAACACAATCCCCGGATCCACACCTCCCCAGAAGTCCATCTCATCCCCAAGTAAGCCCAAATCATCGGACACCAAATCCGACAAATCGCCAAGTTCGGAGGGAGGGAGCGGCGCGCTGGATAGCCCCGATTCCAACACCTCGTCCAAAATCTGCAAGAGTGCTTTGCTCGTCCGCTCACACAGTAGCCCATGCACCTTGTCTGTCTTCGCGATGGATTCCAAATGTGACAGGAAGACGCTGAGGTCGCGGATCAGCGCCGCTCGCGATCCGGCATAGACATAGGGAAGCGGTTGGTCAGTTCGGCTCTGGGTCTGCAGTGCTTTCACTAGTACACTTGCGCTGGGAAAGCCGTAGAGTAGGATCTGTGTACACAGTAAATGTCAATCACCTAGATGCCAAAGCTTTTTGTCTCGGAGCATCTTACAGCCCAAATAAAATCACGGCGCAAGTCCACCGTGGCCGCCTCCCCGTATGTTCCTAGCGTCAACACCGTCGAGAGGATTTGCGCGCTGACCTTCAGCAGTGCACCCTGTGCTTGACTGTCTTCGCGTAGAAGCAGCCTCTGCACGAGAAATTCATCGTATAGGTGCGCCAGGTGGGCGACCGTTAGCATGAGGCGCGCGCTCACGGAGAGGATGCCCGGTTCCCTCCATGCAGCTACAGAGGATCGTAGGTGTTTCGGCAGGGAGGACCAGGTCTTTTCGGAGCGGAGGGAAATGTCTCTAGGTCTATGTTAGTATCTCATCGTGTGTGTTTAAAGGGCCGAGGTGCTACCTTAATTGTGCGGCGGTGTCGGCGCTGGGTGGGCGGAGAGACAGTTCGAGAATCTCCTCGCGGAGGGTGCCGAGCTCAAACCGTACACGGATCCAGGATGCTCGCTGGAAGACCGGGGGCTCTTGGAGACTCCATCCGCTATCGTCCAGCGTCTTGGTGATAAGTTGTAAATGTCCGCTGTCGGCTGTGAGGATCTCGTCCGCGAGATCGAGTGGGGGCTTGCAGTCAGAGTGGCGGATGGAGATACGCGGGGGTCGACCGAGGAAAGTGGCGACCGTCTTGTCGAGCTGGTACGCGGCGGCGAATATTCGTCGTCGAGTTTCGGCGAGGAAGATGGGGAGTTCGTTGGATTCGCGGTGGAGACCGAGCTCGAAGAGGGTGGTGGAGAGTTCGCCGAGTCGGTGCCATGTTTCAGAGCCTGTGCAGAATCCATTCGTCAGCTTTCCAATCCCAAGCCAGATTCTGGATAAGCGCACTTGTATCACCATGCAGCAAGCCAGACAGAAGTAAGCTCTCATGCTGTAGCCACACTGTCAAATCATTGGTCGGCGTAAGGAACCGACAGACCTCGAGGACCGTGTCACACATCGTCATCATTCTTCGAGGGAAACGGGCCTGGTAGTCTGGGCCGAAATGTCTGGACACCTTGCCGTGGGCCAGCGCGAAGCAGCTAGCTTTGCCGGCGAGGGCACCAATAATGGCGATGATCTCGAGTCGAAGATGGCGACCGGTGAAAAGCTCATGAAATCCACTACCCTCTGTTGTCGGTGGAATCACCAAGCGCTTGCTGGTGTTGTGGAGAACGGACGTGGCTGAAGCAGTGTCCCCTAACAAGGAGGCTAATGCGTTCAGGATAAACGGGGCGGGTATGGCGGCGGACTGGCTGAGTCGGTAATACTCATGCACCAAGTGCTCGATAATGGGCAGTTCCTTCAGCCAGCGGAGAATCTCGGCTACTTTGTGTGCCCAGTGGGCGGGCAGTGCTTCTGCGGCCTCGGTCTGAGTGGCCGTGGGCGGCTGCTTGTCGGTATCCCGAGTCTCTGCAAACGCATCGAGAAAACTGGTCGGCCCCAGATACCCTGCAGGAAGCGGTGTCTCAATCTCAGGGTTACACGCAGACGCTTTGAAGGGCGACGGTTCTCGATTCGGTCCTTCGACCGCGATCACGTCTGTCGTGGCTTCTTGTTGGTCCTGTAGCCTTGTTCCACCGTCAATGAGCAGCATTGACCCGGGTTGCAGAGTATCACTCACTCCTGTGCATTTCCACCATTCGAAAGGCTCGCTCTCAAGTTCTTTGTCTCCGACTTGCGCGTCAAAGGTGCAGGATGATAGAAGCAGCGTGTTGCCGTATCCCGTTGGAAGCAGCGCGAGCACACGGGGATTCCGTGGTCGCAGCGTACCTTGTCCTTCCGGCATGGTTCACAAGAAGCAAATTTGCCGTTTCGTCGTCGGACATTCTTGCCTGCTCCTGGCGTCTTGTCTGGTCTGGTAAACTGATTCACTGCGAGGGTCAGATCTGACGTGTGGTATCTAATGAGTGTGTGTTGTTCGGAGACGCAGGACTCACTGGACTCTATGGTACAGTATCATGTGAGGGTGAAGGGCCCGTCTACTTTTCGAAGCTCTCCAGCTGCCACAGCCTGTGAGATGATGAGGTCTGCATCCTGTGGCACTTTGCGCGTGCCAGTGTCATGGATAAACGTTTACCTGTCAAGCTTATCGTTGTTCCCCTCCATTGGTCTGTATTCGGTTAGCCTTCGGGACTCGGCGTTCGGCGTTCGGAGTCCAGATTTCAGCCTAAGGCATCATTCACTCGTGCCTGAGGTGTTGAATCATTGGCCTTGTTGCGAAGGACCTTGGGAGTCGGCACAGAGGTATAAGATGACGGAAGCTAGTCAGCTATCATTGTATTCTATATCGATGAGGTTTCTAGCCCAAAATCCTTGCGCTTTTCGCCATGCCTCTCAATGGATACACTGTGTCTTCACATGGTTGTGACTGTTGTGAAAATATGAGTAAGCCACTAAAGCCTTTCCATTTCCTCAGTGTCGATGAGTTCTTTGGCGCAGAGGCTCATGTTGACTCTTTTCATCTCTAGATACTGGGAGCCATGTCATCGGAGCAATTGTTCATCTCCCCGCGACTTGAGCCAAGTCACACTGCGCGCGCGACCGAACGGTCAATTACCGAGTCTAGACCAGATCTTTCATATCCCGTGTCACCATGATCAATCGACATGGACGTGGCTTGGCCATCTAACCTGGTTCCTTAAGCATGACAGGTTGTACCTTATCCCGGTGCCAGAACCAGGGCTGCTGGGGCGGTGTTACCGGGGAATGAAGAGGGGCATCGAATTCGGCGTCTCGGTGTCTGCTCCGAAGCGGGGTGGAGATCGTCATATAAAGCTGGCAGCTGGAGTGGGAGCTGCAACTGCCCCTCAGCTCTCAACACACCCATCGATCTTCTCCCCCCAGCTCAATATTCTAATCATTCGACGCCATGACTCTCACCGGAAGCTGTCTCTGCGGCAATATCACCTACACCGCTGAAAGTATGTTCACCCCAACCAACCAGGACCGTGAGCTAACCAAGTTCCCCGCAGCCGATGAGTACCTGAAAGCGCTCTGCCACTGCACTGACTGCCAAAAGGTGCGTCCGGATGAATCGCATATGGGCCATTAGGCAAGCTGAACTAATCTCCTTCAGTGGACCGGCGGCGCCTTCACCTCCAACGCAGTCGTTCCCCGCGAGAGTTTCAAAATTAACAAAGGTAGAGCGCAGACAGACCCCAAGTCCCAATCCATCAGTCAATCCTAACGCATCCAGGAACACCCTCCTCCTATGACGTTGTCGGGGCCAGCGGCAAGATCAACAAGCACTTCTTCTGTTCGACTTGCGGATCCAGCTTGTACACTGAGCTCGAAGTCATGGCCGATAAGACTGTGATCAAGGCGGGTACTTTGGACAACGGCGACACCAACCTGGGTGGGAAGGTGGATATCGAGTTCTACGTCAAGGACCGGCCGTCGTATTTGGCTGCTGTCGAGGGCGCCAAGCAGGAGCCGCGCTTTGGTTAAGGGTCGGTGAATTCGAGTTGTTGATGCCATAACAGGTTTTGAGTCTATCAGAATGAATGCTCATGACGTATACTCGATTGTGGGTTGTAAAATAACAGCACGATAGTGCGGCAGAGCTCTGAAAAACACTCTTAAATGTATTGGTTTAATCTAACTCTAGTGTAGGCTACTCTAGAGCAGCAGCAATCCTGCCGAAAGCCAAGTCCAAGAACTCCACGGGATGCGTAAAAACAATCCTAAACCACCCGTCCTTCTCCGACCCAAATAACGTACCACTGGCGAGAAACACCCTCTTCTGCAGTAGTCGCTGCATCACCTTCTCGCCCACTACGCTTCCCGCCTCTTCGGGATGCAGCTCAACATACCTCTTCCCCAGGTTCACCCACAAGAAGAACGCAGCGTTACAGCCAGGCGCATACTCGATCCCCAACCCTTTGAGGCGGCGCGTCGCATACGCATACGTCGTAGACAGTTTGTCTTGATTTCTAGCAATGTACCTTTCCGTGAACTCGACATCCTCGAGAAGCAGTGACGCCAGGTGATCGGCCGTCCCGGAAGTATACGAGTACAGTGAGATCCCACCCAAAGCCGCGTGGACGTCCTGGTTGAACTGGGAAATTATCACCCCCATCCGCAGCCCGTTGGCGCCGAAGTCTTTACTCAGGCCCCAGAGCACATGGACGAGGGCGGGGTCGATGATGTCGGTGAGGTCGATGGAGAGGGCGGATTCAAACGCCACAGGTGCCGGGGCCTGATCGACAGTGTTCTCCCACACCGATAATGCGTAGATCTCGTCGCTGATGAAGTTCATTTGGTACTTCTGGCAGAGTCTCATCAGTGCGATCAGCACTTGACGTGGGTAGCACCGTCCCAGCGGGTTGTGCGGGTGGCAGAGCATCAGCGCCTTGACTCGGCGGCCGGTGTCGGTCTGGAATCGCAGCAGAGCCTGCTCATACTTGTCGACTGCCTCGAGGCTGAACGGGTCGCAGTCGTCGAAGGCGACCTGCACCACTGACGCACCGAACCGGAGCGAGAGGTCGGGAATGAAGGTCCCGTAGAATGGACGGCCGAGAAGGATCCCTTCCCCGGGATCACAGAAAGACCACGCTACGTGCTCGATGGCCGGGGAGACCCCGTTGGTGACGACCAGGTGGTCGGCAGTCACGGGCATGACGGGGCTGAAATGCCGGTTGATGAATGCGGCCATCGCGCGGCGGAGTCGCACGGAACCGCCACCACCGTCGTTGTAGGTGAGGTATTTGGCCGGGAGCTCGAGGGTGCGGTTCAGGTGTTTCAGCAGCATCCCGTGCATCAGCGAGTTCTCCGCCACACCGACGTTGACGTAGCCATTCGGATTGGTCGTCTCGCACCAGACGTCTTTCATCACGTCCCACATGACGTTGTTGCTGACCTTCTGGATCACATCCTGCGCCCTTTGGGACATCGCTGATGTCGGAAGTGTAGCTGAGGCCATGGTGATGTGGTCTGGTACGTTTGAGTTTGTAGGGGATTGTAAAGAGGGGGAGAGCCCGGGATCTAGTGACTGTATTAGATGTCTTCAGAAAAGCCGATGACTCGCATCAAAGCAGCTGGCAGGACCCGTGCATCCAATCAGGTGCTTATCACTCGAAGATTATGCAGGCGAGACCCGTATCACTGAGGAGAAGGAGTCCGTGTCGGATTCAAGAACCGGTATTGAGTCACATCTTATCGACAGGATTTCTGCAGGGCGCAGACTCAGGTTTTGGTCGGTAAGGCGCGGGACCAGAGTTGGAGATTTGGGGAAGCAGACTTTGGTAGGTTATGCCAAGGCGAAATGTGGAGATGTTGGAGACGGAGTGGATCTTGTAGGTGGAAGCAGCTTTGAGAGCCTGGTTTATATAATTGGATGTCCAAGTAAGGCGGTTGAAGAAGATGGGATTTGACTTGATAAAGAGTCTCAACCATGAAGTCTCCGAGTCTTATCTAGGTAGGTATTGATGAGATATAACGTCAGTGGGCGGAATGGAGCGGAAGATGTAGGAAACGGCCATTGGCTACTAGAGAATTAGTGTGCATTAGCCTGGATCACGGTGTACGTGGTAATGTTGAGAGAGAAAACAAAATATGGCATTAATATTCAACAATTGGGACGATGGCGCATCTGGGAGCGCGTCAGACTGAAGCACTAACTTCGGCCGTAAATCTGAAGGTGGCCGGTTCAAGCCCGGCTCGTCCCATTCTGTTTTTGCCTTTTTCTGTCGCATCACTTTTTCATCCTCTTTTTACTTTGGCCTCTTCATCTTTAAAATGAACTAGAGCTAGCTTATCAAGATTTAGCAGTGTTAGTTATTTGATAAAAGAAGGCTCTAAGATGCTATTTATCCTATTCGTCAAGGTTTCCTGGAGCACTCAAGTAGTTCCCCCAGAAAATATATTTCCACTACTTGTTTTCTTTCACTATCACCAAGTGAACCAACCCGATTTCCAAGATCACCGAATGAAAAAAGACATACAAAAAGATCAAAATACACATCATCATCATGATCATAGACATTCTATAAGTTATCGATTGCTGAATAGTCTTGATGCACCTGCTGGTCGAGCACCGCCTAATGGCATTCGGCATTATTGGGCTTTCGGATGGTACCGCAGATGCGGCCCGCACCGCCGGCGGTTTCCTGTTTCGGCAGCTGCTGCACCAAATGGACGCCCAGCGCAGCGTCATCCTCTTTGTACTTCTTCACATCCTCTCCAGTCTCCAGCTTACTTCTTGTCTCCAGCGTCCTCATCCACGGCAGCCTAGTCTCAAGCCTGTGGAGCAGCCCTTATAATATGATCCATCTTGCTCCCCATGTTTCCACAATCTCCCTGGCTTCATCCACCAGACCCAGGTCCAGCAACAACTGCACCGTGCCGCGAAAGGCCGAGTCGACGGCCGATGAAAGCCACGCATGCGTATAAGCCGTATGTTCCCCAATGAAGATTGTCTTGGACTCAGTTTGATAGATTGCTGGCAGGAATGTCTCTTGTTGATCGCCGAGGGGAGACGCCCAGGCCCCACCTGTGAACTCATCGTTTTCCCAGCACAGACGTTCGTATACTCCTATCAGACCAGAAATCAGCCATCTTCATATCTATGCCAAGATTCAACCCACATACCGGTGAACTCGTCATCAGCAACTTTCCCATGAAGGCGAACCATGCCCCGCTGCGCCAGAGCGACGTGGTTTGCTTCTCCCAGCGCAGACATCGTCCGGGCTATGTTACCCGTGGTGAAGGAAGCTAGAACCACTGCCGGGCCCGTGCTATTCACTTGATACGGGGGATAGCACATATCGCCGATACCGGGATAAGCGTCCACACGGGCGCAGCCACGGTATTGCGCATTCTTGCCATCCTCCCAGAACCGCGAGCGGTAGTGCAGAGCAACTTTACATGATTGCGTGAAATGCAGCCGACGAATCGCCCATCCAAGGAGCTCGGGGTATTCCGGCAACTCCCAGGCACGCACTATGCTGAACGGAGCAGCGACAACGGCATAGTCGTATTGTTCATCCACGGTTTCCGGGTCCTTCGGATCATTGCGCCAAGATAAAGAGATTTTGTTTGTGGATGCGTCATGGCTCAACCCGCTGATTCGACGGCCCAGCGTGATCTTGTCCGTTACATGAGGCGCGAATGCTCTGGGTAGCGACTCGAATCCTTTGTCCAGAGTTTCCCAGCTTGAGGCAGCGAAATATTTGTTCCAGTATAGGCTCTCCCAGATAGGCGTATCTTCCCGGTCGGCAATGTAATTAATCATCTGATCGTTCGAGCTCAGGAGCTGGCGCAGGTATGCGCCTTCAGACCAGTGCGTACTCCCCGCAGCCAATGCAGCCTTGTGAGCCTGAAACATCTTGTCAGCTAGGAACTCGGTATACTTCTGTTGATCGCGTTCATCCAGGTCTTTAAGCGTATGGCTCGGCCCGTCCTCTTCATCGGTAATCACGTCGAAAGGAAGGAACTCCATCTTTAACTCCGGGTGGTGGTCGGCATTGAGTCGATTGAGCTTGTCAATGAGACTGATCACTAGTCGGTGATCTTCAAACGGCAGGACCTCGGTGGTGCCGGTGTATCTGATTTTGGTGGGTAGTCGCATGGGGCCCATGTCAAAATATTGATAATCCTCGGGTGAGGTGCCATTGAGGTAGCCTGTTCGGATTCGCCCCCCTAGACGCTGGGAGGCCTCGTGGATATGCCAGTTGTGTAGTCCGACCGAGCTTAGCAAATGACTGGTCAAAAGCCCCGCGATGCCTGCGCCCACGATGGCGATACTGGAATTCTTCGCTGCAGCGCTATTCACCACCGCCTTGGCGTGGAACCGCGATCGAGTGTATTCGACCGCATTGAACCAGATTACAGAGTCCTTGTCGATCCGAGAATCTTCTTTAGGATGATCTGGCGCTTGTTCCAAAGAGATAGGAGGCGACCGGCCAACCATAGCACATTCGTGGAAGGCAAGCAGACATTGTGATTCCTGTGCATCGGAGGGCACAACCCATACAAGCCGATCTGGGTGTTCCGTACTCTGCACCTCGAAGCTTCCCACTATCTGAGTCGCATCGGCTGCTTGTTCTAAGTTGCAGTCCCCATAGACGACATGGAGCTTGCCTGCAAAGCTCTCCTGTGCGAAATTAAGCTGGATATTCTGGACAGAGCCGGTCTCAACAAGGTAAGGCCCGAGAAATTGAACCAAGCTCGCGTCTGCGTGACCTTTGTGTGCCTTTGCCAGACCGAGTGGAAATTGCAGGCCTTGTGTGAGATCAAGGCCTGGGAGGAGGCAAAGAGACAATAGATTGATTCTCATCTCGAAAGTATATTTGGTAAGGAAAACAGTTCCAGGCTACTATGATGATTCCTACCATTAGAGTACAACCCAGGCTGGTCTCAACTTTTATGTTTTGACCGCTGGTAACTTTTTAGGTTGCTTAAGCCATTGCACCCATTGCCACAACGTCATCTCGTCAACAAACACATTCCACGCAGCCAATCAATCTTCTATTGTCGGATACATTCACTTTTACTTGCATCGAGTCCCGTAATCTGTGTTTCTCTGTTACTGAATATGTGGTGGGGAGCGACCACCCTCATGGCAAATCTTAACTCTATTCTGTCGGTGATGCATGAAACTGTGGCGATCGCCGCCAAGTTGACTGGGTCGGTGACACAGTATGGCTTAATCTAGGACTAACTTCAGGCAACACCTGCTTGTGAAGCCCAGAACCGACCAATGGAGTTATTTTCCCGCAGGTCCAGGCGAGAATGCACTGGACCCTTTCGCTTTCTGAGTTACGTGCTGCTACGCACTGCGGCTGTTTCTATATTGGGAAGACGCATGATGCGCACTGATAATATTTCTTTATGGGTTGTGATCAGGTGTCACACGGTTAGTTTACAATTGTCATCGACACTTCCGTCTCTTCTACTGCGCAAGAATAGCCGCGCTGATTTTCTCAGCTAGCATGTCTGTGAGAGGGATTAGCACGATTCATGTAAGACCCTTGATGCGACCTTGACTCACAGACTGTGCTAGTAGGATGACCAGGAGGCAGAAGAGGGAATGCACTTGCATCGACCACACGCAATCCCTGGACGCCGTGAACTCGTGCTTCACTGTCGACAACTGCCATGGGATCCTCCCGAGGCCCCATTTTACATGTACAGGATGCATGCCACACCGTGATGACAGAGCTGCGAATGGCGTCAAGGATCTCCTCGTCGGTTGTCACATTTGCTCCAGGATAGTATTCCGGCCCAGTCGTGATCGACTGCAAGGCGTCACTCGCCCAAATTTCTCTGGTTCGTTTGAAGATGGCCAACGCAACCTCGATGTCGGTCTGGCTTGTGAGCCAATTCGGATTGACTACCGGCAAATCCTCGGTGGAGTTGGAGATGAGGGTGATGTTTCCGCGAGATGTTGGCGCAACGAGAGCGCCGACTATGGAGGCGTATTGCCGTCCATCTGTGGGCTGACCTTCTGCGGGATTGCTGTAGTTTCCAACATGCGCATCGAATGCGATATACTGCCACTGTCGTCAGCAATCGATAGTTCAAAACTTCCTCCTCGGAAGAAGATCATACTTCAGCCTGTGGCCAGTCAGCAGGGAAATTGCTTAATTCTTCCTGTGTTCCGGCGGAAAACTCGGCATGATAGGAAGGCGGGAGGTTCTCCCAGGCGAGGAAATTGGGGGCATAAGTCATTGGGCCATCGTGAGAAGTCTGATATCTCAGAATCTGTTCAGTCATATAGGTTGTGTCCGTGAAGAGCTTGGTCAAGGTCTCGACTGCGACCGGATAGGATTGAGCAAAAAAGACATGATCCCACATGTTCTGACCCACGCCAGGTAGATCGGCAAGCACAGGGATATCCAGGTTCTCCAACTGATCGCGAGGCCCAATGCCAGACACCATGAGGACTTGGGGTGAGTTGAACGCTCCGGCGGATACAATGATTTCCTTAGCTGCCGACGCCGTCCAAACCTTCCCATCTTTTTCGATTTCTACGCCCTGCGCATTAAGCTGATCATCGAACAAGATACGCCGTGCCAGAGATCGAGTGCAGGCGGTCAAAAATGGCTCTTCCTCAGCCAGACCTAGAAGAAAATCCGAGCTGCTACGGCGCTCGTCTACCGGGGAGATCTCTGCGGCAGAATATTGCGTTCCCATCAAGCTGCCACTGACGAAGTCATTGGTCTCAGGTATCCCAGATTCCTCGAAGCCCAATTTCAACCAGGTGGAAAATGGCGACCGGAAATTGGGGTATGAGATTTGAATTGAGCCCTCGACGGGGTTTTCGGATGAAAAGGCACTGGCATTCCAGTGTATAGACGTGTTATCCAATCCATTGTCTGGATTGGGTGGTGTGAAGTGGAAGGTTCTCTCGAAGAAGGGTAAAATCTCGTCCCATTCGTAACTGGGATCTTGGACGGCTTCTGCCCAAGCGTGATACGTCGACTTGGTGCCTCTGTCGTCTGTGGTCAACAATCCTGCACAGCAATAGGGATAGACGCGTGACTAACCGCTGGTATAGCATGGCATTCATCGCAGACCTATACAACCACATCAGCTCAGCTGACCGCGACACGGGGACTTTCATCTTACGAGCCACCGAGAGTCTTGCCCCGTGCATAATGCAGCTGACGGTTGTTCGCGCCAGGCTGCGGGGTGGTAATTACGCCCCAATCGACGCGGGGATCAATTGTATCCGGGCTCCCTCCGGTTACGGCGCCAAACATGAGGGGAATAGTCAGGTTCGCATTGTCCAGCTCATAAATGCCACCCGCCTCGACGATCAAGACGCTGTGCCCGGCCTGGGACAGACGAGCGCCGACCACATTTCCCGCCGTGCCACCTCCGATGACGATGTAGTCGTAGACCCCATCCTCACCACAGGCACCTGCGACCGGGTTGGCCAACAGCAGCAGGGACAGCAGGCGAGCAAAAACAGCAACCAGCAGCAGCATGGTGTGCCCAATTTGAAAAGACTTACGCCCCGGTATGTGAGGAAAATCCAAGGAAGGATCTTCCTGGTCATCCCTTCCTCCCTTTCTTATACGACTCCTTCGCGCCCGCATATGCTATCGGGATTTGGACCAGTCACATTCCAAAGCAGGGTTTCTCGCCCTGCAATAAATGCCTGCCCTCCATGCGACCTGCCGCCGCCGATCCCTGGGTTCAGTTCCGAGACGGGGCTCGACGGCAGTCGATCAATTCTTTTCTGTCCAGGTGGATCCAGCGGCCTTGCGTCCTGGCTGCCGCTAGTGCAATGGGGTAGGAGCACAACCAGGCGAAAATCGACCGAGATCCAAGTTAATCAGAGGTCCGCATCTACTGTGGTTGCGTAGTAGTGGACACATGATCAATGAGTTGTTGAAATAAGCGTGGGGCTTCCGCTGCTAGTTTCCCTTGATGTCTGCATGTATGTTGTTCATTGGTGACCAGTGCTTGGACGTACGTATAGTAGAACCGCAGATTTATCATGCTAAGTTCCATAGTCATAGTCAATACTCGAAAGGATGCAGTGCGCTAGCGGAATTCACGCAGTAAACCAAGTACCCCTCTCATTTTTCCCAATGCCCCACGTACAGAAAACAATAATCCCGAAGACAATAACACTACTTAGAACAAATCGACATTTGCTCCCACACAAAAGATCACAGCACGCGCCCGCGGAATTCTCACTCCTGCTTCTTCGAAAAGCTAAGGAAAACAACCACCGCAAACACGAGCGACAGAATGCCTGGGTCTTGTCAGCGCCCTATCGACTGCACTTTCTCTCCCTAAAGGAAAACTCACCATAGATAAAGTTCAAATTCAGATACCCGATCTTGTCGACCAACAGGCCTGACATAATGGGGCCCAGGAACATGCCAATCGTCCAGCCCATCCACGCGATGGATTGGGCGCGGGAGTGGCCGCCGTGGGGGCCGAAGATGCCGGGATGCTTGGCTTCGAGCTCGTTGATGGTGACTATCCCCATTCCCAGACCGACCAGGTCAGTACACTCTGATGTTGCAATACTCACAGGGGTGGGAGGCACAAACTTACGTGTAGCTTCCAAGAACCCGACCCCGTTCAACGCCGAGAAGAAACACCCGATGACCACCACGGCCGCGGGGTAGAGCGCCTTCCCCGTTTGCGAATCGCCACTCGCCCACGGGAACCGCCCGTCTCCGGGGATCCCCAGCACCCAGAGGCACGGGGTCAGCAGCAGGAACCCCAGCGTCGTGGGCAGGCGCGTGCCCACGCGGTCCTTCAGCCACCCGCACACGGGCGTCAGGAGGATCCCGGGCACTTGCAGCCCCACGAACAGCAGCCCCGCCGGCAGACTGCCCCAGCCAAAGACGGCGCGGATGTGCAGTGGCAGGGTGGTGTCGAAGCTGGCGACGAGCATCGCGTAAAACGTGTAAGCGGTCATCGCGGCGGTGAAGCGCGGTTGCCGAAGGAGGTAGCGGTAGTATTGGAGGCCGGCTTGTTCTGGGGTCTGTGTCGCGGTTGGGTTCGCGCTGCTGGGCTGCGGGGTGGGTTGCTGGTGTCGCCAGGAGTCGGTGGAGAGCGTGCGCGGGAGTAAGGGGGCGCGTTCGGGGTCGGAACTGGAGGTGGAGTGCGGGGGTTGCTTGTGCGAGGCTGTTGGGTGAAGTCAGTGGATGCGAGGAGACGATGACGCGAGAAGGAAGGGAGTGAAGCGGACTGACTTCTTGATTCCTCGGGTTTGCGCTCAATCATTAGCAAGCGCAGGGTTGCATCGACCACGAGGACGGCGAAGGCGCTGCTCCATGCCACCCAATAGCCTCCCTTCTCTAAGAGGATTCCGGAGAGTACGGGCCCCGCGGAGGTGCCGACGGCAACGGTCACGCTCAGCACTGACATGACTTTGCCGAAGTTGTGCGCTGGGAAGGTCCGGCCGATCACAGCAAGGCCGCCGATCCACATGCAGTTGTCGGCGATGGCTTGGAAAAAGCGCGCGACGAAGATGATCGTTACTGTTGGTGATTAGCTGCCTGTATGTAATCCGGAAAGGAGCAAGGAGCAGATAGTGCATGTCAGTGATCAGGATGGAGGAGGTTGAGACATACCGCTACGTGCAAGTGCCACACTTACTGTGCAACATGCCGCCAGAACTACGGAGAAAAAGAGAAAGACCGTTTTAGCACCCCAGCGATCTGCGAGCGTGCCAATGACAGGGCTGGACATGGAAGACGTCAAGGCCGTTTCGGCCAATACGAGGAACGTCACGTTCTGCGTCTTGGATTTGTCGAGGCCAATCCGCTCCTCTAGCATGTAAGGAAGGAGAGGGATGATGAAGCTCCAGAGGAACATGCCTGTAATCGCTGGAGATCAGTGTCCGTGGCTCTCTGAAGGGCCGCGCAATGGGTTGCGGCATAAAGGGGACTCACTCCGCATAATCCCCCCGGCTACTGTCGCCAGGATAAAGTTTTCGGAGGATCTCCATCGGTATCCCCATTGGGTCGTCTGTGATCTGGTGTCAGTCATTATTTGATCCATAAGCTGTGATAATGGTCCGTAAGATTCGAGTACCGAGGCTACCTTGGGATTTATAGCATCTTGGAAGCTATCTTTCAGGAACTGATATCACTGGGTATGCCTGGTTGAGTATGTCCTTCCTTCTGATCGACTACCACCCATCAGCTCTTGTGCGACGCCGAAGACCCTAGTGGTGGGAGACATCAAGGATAGTCGTGACGATCGAGGCCCTTCGTCCGACCAAACGGGCAAGATACAGGAGACCTCGATCCCGGCCTGCTGGCGTTGACAGGCGCAGGAACCTGCCTTCTGCTCGAAGTTCCACAACAATAGTATATGATGACTGATTAAGGGTGTTCAGCAGAGCAGGTAAACGAGGGCGTGACTTCAGACAAGCTTGTTCTGGCTTCTTTCGTCACAGTTCCGCTTGAAGCGGCGTGCAGCGGAAATAAAAGCCATCGTAGTAGGCAACCTGCCGAGCCGACAGTCATGTCCGTGATGAGTTGAACTGCCGAGAATTTTATCAAGGTCGAAACTCCTCTTGTTTTGGCCACAGATTCTCAGGGAAAGGGACAGTTTGACGTCACGAAGAATTGAGCAGCTGGCTGGAAAACGGGCCAACAAACAAATCAAGTCACGAAGTCACGCAATAAGCATCAAGAAGAACATCACATTCAGATGATCCATAAGGATTATATGAGTAGTCATCAAGGAGCCTGTCTCCCCTCCTGCCACGTTGGGATACCCCTACATACCTCGCCACGGGTCTTTGCTCCTAAATCACCAATCGTGCACCACAGAGACCTTCCTCGAAACCTTCCATAGCGTCAGCTGGTATTATGATGTCATATCTTGGAGTAGGGATAACGTCCGAGTACCAAGTTCAGCATCGTGCGTAGTATAAATTGCGGTGTTCAAGATACCCCTGGTGGTTGTCCATGTCAGTCATCTTGCGCAATCGCATGCAGCCAATATCCCGTTGAAGCAGTCAAAACCGTTTCCGCCATGATTCTCTCTTTATATCCCGAGCCGGCGAACAATAGTACGCTCGTGGAGCCTTGTCCGCATCTGACATATCTCCGCCACTGTCTTAACCTGGCCAAGCTGTCACCGCCGCGCCCCGCCCTCTTCCGGGCCGGAGCAGTCCTGATTTCGCGAAAACTCGTTCGGGGAACTGACAACGAGCTGTACAACGACGACCGGCTTCTATCATCAGGATATACCATGGAGCTGGTGAAGAGACCCCATGCGGAGCAGGCCTGTCTTTCCAACTACGCTGCCGTCCATGGAGTCCCAGACAATGAGGTCGGGGATGTCCTACCCTCTGAGCCTGATCGCTCCCTGATCATGTACATGAGTTTTGAGCCTTGCGTGGAGCATGAGGAAAGTGACATGTCCTGCGTGCAGAAAATCATCGAAACAAGAAAGGAGGGGCGAAAAGGCATCGAGAAGGTTTATTTCGGCTCGCTGTCTCCGTGCTCGATAAGCAATAAGTCATCGGCACGTCAGATGCTCGGAGAGGCCGGCATTGAGTGGCAACTGGTCGAGGGTCTGGAGCAAGAGATACTTTCGGTTGCAAAGGAAGGACGTGTGAATCAAGGAAAGATTTGAATTTGTTAGTATCTTGTTCGTACATTGAAGATGACTCTGAAAATGGGAGGCTCGTCTAGGCCGGCGTGGTTGCCTTCTTGTTTGTACTGTTTGTGTCATGGATGTACAATTGAGTTAGTCGGTCACCTGATATATTAGTCAGTTGGTTGTCTGGATAAGATTTATCCCGGACCCACGAACGGGTTCTCCAATTCTCTTACCACAATAATATCATTGAAACAGCTTCGAAACCTATTGCACGAGAAGCCTTAACGGCATTTGAATTGGAATATCAAGCACCCTTTGGGATGATTCGTACTACTTGCGGAGACTTATGCCTTTTGGGTAAGTGATCGACCACTGTTCCTGTTCTTCAACCTCATTCTCCACACTGAGCTCCACAAGCTTAAACACTTTATGCTGCAGATTGTGGATTCACCGGTCCCCAGACATGGAGACATGACGACGCTTCTTATCTCCATCATCTAGCCTTGGTCCTGCCACCACTATCATACTATCTCCGAGATCTTCACCATCGGACCTGCTGCGGCGTTCCGTCCCTCAGCCGACTTGACCTGTGTCAATGGTCGTAAGATCTTCACAAGCATAAGATTAAGGTAAAGTCGGTGGAAACACCCGGTGGAACTGGTTACGTTGCCCAAGGCGGGTCTGAATGCTTGATTGTTTGCGAAAAGGTATGGCTTCATATAAAAACTCGCTTTAACCCGCTGAAGATTTCGATTCTTCACTCACACCACACTCCTTCCATTCGTTCTCTACTGCTCAGTCGTTCATTCATCATGGCCAAGTACCTCTCTTTGGCCATCTCAGCTGCGGCTCTAGCCCAGGCTGTCAGCCTGGAAGATGTCTGTACTTCCGCCTACGCCAAGGCGGCGATTCCCTCCACT